TAGAGGGGATGTGGGAACAGTCACGTCAACTGTTAATGATGCAGTAGGGTACGAGTACAGTGACGAGCACAACAAGGCACTGCGCATATTCATGCAATAGTGGGTGGCAGTTGCCTCGCTTGTTGAGGATGCGCTAGGGTACGAGTTCAGTGACGAGCGCAACAAGGCCCTGCACATCTTTATGCAATAGAGGGGATAGTTGTGCACTCATGACACCAGTGCTGAACCTATCTCTTGCAATGGGGAATGAACAGTCGCCTTACAAGAGAGCTTCAGTGTTCAAGGGGAGAGGGTAAACAAAAAGGGATAACGGTGATGAATCACACAGTTGTGATGGTGGGTGTGTGTGTACCTATGGAACAGAGGTGATGGGCCTGCCTTGAGATTCACAACTGAGTAGGCATTTTCATCTCACCATTACTGGGTGACTTAATCACTACTAGGACAATCACAGTATTGTTAGGGAAGCTGATTGTAAACCTACAAAACATGTCTTTTAGTGTGTAATACAGTATCATATTCACATGCCACATCAGCACACCTAAAACATATTGTGGCTAAAATTTGAGGTTGACTGTGGATTTTTCAAGATTTCTCACAAGTAACACGTGGTTCAAGGATGATGAACCTTCAGTACGGTCAAAGGGCGACGCGATGAAACTTCAAGCGGTGGTGACATCAGCAGCAGGGACTTCAGGGTGCCTGGCGGCCCACCAATCAATGAACTTGAAATTGGCGTCCATGGAACTGAACTTGTACAGCCCCAGCCCTATGTTGGCCGCCTCCTCTGTCACCGCCCAGCTGGTTACCGCACCCACCACGAGCGTCAGGAAAGCACCTGGGGTGGGGTGTGCATGAGGAGGGGGAGACAAGAACAGGAGGTGTATTACTGTGTGACTGTGTGGGTGCTGCAGGGACTTCAACCTTCAGGGTGGCAGCCATGGAACTGAACTTGTACAGTTCCAGCCCTATGTTTGCCGCCACCTCCCAAAAACTCTCCGCCCTCCTCCCCCCCACCTGCCCCACACTCACCCCCAGCGCTCCGCGAATACCGGTAGTTGTACGCCGCGAGCGCCAGTCCCCCAACCGCCGCTCCGCCAGCCGCCATCAGCGACGCCTGGCGCGACAGCAGCACCTGCGCGGGGGGAAGGGAGCGTGTGGGGCGAGGGGGGAGAGAGCGCGGTGGGGGAGGGGGAGGGCGGGATAGAAAAGAGGGCGGGATAGAGATGGGTGCGGGAGATTAGGAGCGAGCTCAAGCACCAACCATTTGCAGAGGGCATATGAGATCTAGTCAGAGCGCACTAGTTAATGAAACGCGTCTCTCTTTCCCTCCAGGCACCGCACCTACTTGCCGTCAACCGCACCTGCTTGCCGCTACCGCACCTGGTTGCCGTGAACGGGATCCTCCTTAGCGAACGCCTCGATATCCGCTTTAGTCCAGCGAGGCAGCGGCGTTTCGCGGCCCTGGCTGAGATCCAAAAGGCGGTTCACTGTCGGACAGCTCTTCACGTCGCCCTCGCCGCTCTTCTTCATCCACCACGGCGTGTAGCCTGACGCCATGCTAAGTGATTATGACGAGATGCGATAAAAGCGAGATGTGACTAATAAGAGGGGAGACTGTTGGGAGATTGATGGGATGGGATGTGATTGGTGGAGGCTTGTGTTTTCGGGCGGTGAGAGTCAGGCGGAAGGTGACGGTGGAAAATGAAGCGGAGAAGAAGACGGGTGGTAAGTCTTAACGGCCGACAAATGCGGGCAACCAGTGAAATGAGCTGCGATGGCTGCACGGAAAACGAACAGACCGTTCCATGGAAGGTTGTGCAACGGGCGGAACCCTAAAATGCCATATTTCCTCTCAACCCTACTCAACCGTCCTGGTACAGGGAATCTCCGTGGTAAAGCGGAAGCGGAGGAGGCCGTAGCGTCCCCGAGTTCCCCGAACCTGCGCGGAGAGTGTTCTCTGCCAGGCGCGCTTTGTCGGGCTGTCCCTGGCGAGCAGGAAGAGGGTGCTTTCTGATTGGTTGAGCTAGTTTGCTGGGTCTAGACGTGGCATGACGTGGAAGTGGGCCAAAAACACATTTCTGTACTTCGTGGAAGACGATGTCTAGGAAATACCTAATCACGATTGCACGAGAACCGCGTGTATCCATAACGGATAGATTCCGCAGGTTGACGAGAGAGTTAGAAGCGAGGATGAACTCTGATTTTGAGTCTTCAAAATTCGACCCAAGGCTCTGTTTGAAATCATTTTTGCAGGTTTGATTGATTTATCGTTGGCTTGGCTGCTTTTGTCTGTTGCATCTCCGCGTCGCACCGCATCTGATAGTTTAGTAGTTTGTTCCACTGCCTCGCCTCAACTCTAATACCGGAATCTACCTCGTACCTTAGTTCGAAACCCCGGCTTGGCTTTTGTCCTTCTGCACGTATCTAGGCGCGCCGTTCAGTCACTTTCCTTTGCAGAGTCGGCGATTCATCCGTGCCTCGGGACGAGTACACAGACAGAAGAGGCTACACCCGTCCCTAGCGCAGTCGGAACAAAACCGTTTGTGAAACTTCCCGCCCGCATTTGCCGTCGTGTCGCTTTCATCGTGCGACATCTGCGCTGATCGGCGATCCAATGGCGGAAGGGAAGCAAGCGAAAGTGGAAGCAATCACCCTCAAAGTTGTCGCCCAGGTGAGCTTGTTTCACAGGTGAAGCTATCATACTTTATATCACACATTTAGAAAAGCTATCAACGCTTTAATCATCCAAAAGGTTGTCGCAACGAATGCGTGCTTGCATCAGTAACCGTTCATTAGCTGCCCTACCATTCCTATACCAAGTTTCTGTGTCAATCTTCCGTTGTCGCTTTCTTCCCATTGTAACGTACCGTCTTCCTTCGCTTCGATGTCATACCCTGCTGCTCCCACAGGACGGGACAGAAGTGTCGTTCAAAGTAAAACCGAAAACCAAGTTCAGCAAGGTAAGAGTTGAGTGAATGAGGTGACTTTTCAGTCTTAAAAAAATAGTGAAGTAAGAGAAAGGAAAGAAAATGAAAAACATCACTTCAGAGTTTGAAAGGGTTAAAGACGAGGCGCAACCCTGATCGCCCTTCCACCACTCCGAACCTGCCAGCAACTCCAGTAGCCAGTACGCCTTGCTTGAAGATTCTCACCCATTCGATCTTTCATCGCAATTGCCCATTATCCACGCAACTGTACTTGTCTCGGCATTTTGGCTGTTGATTGAACGTTTATGTGACATTTTATCTCCCTCCCAAGTGCGGTTATTCCGGCCGTACTCTGACAAGAAGTGTAACGAAGCTTATTGTAGGGAGCTCGAAAACCCCCTCTTCATGTCCCTAAAACAATGACGTCGGTTCCTAATACAATACAAACTCCCCTTCCCCCCTCCTCCCGCCCCTCTTCCGCCCTCCCCCCCCCCCTCCCCCTCCTCCCCTCTCCCCGCTCCCATCCGCCCCTCTTCTCTTCTTGCAGTTATTTCAGGCGTACAGCGATAGAAAAGGGTTCAAGTTAGATACCATGAGGTTTCTATACCACGGGTAAGTGCCCTCCCCTGTACCACGCGTGGGCCATTCCATGGCTGTGTGTGGATGGGTTGGTGATGTCGTGTCTAGTGGATGGCTGCACGCTTCCTTTCGAATTTGAAGCACCCTTCCTTCCCTCCCTCCCCTTTTCTCCCCTTCCCTCCCCTTCCCTCCCCTTCCCTCCTTTCCCTCCCTTCTATTCCCTCCGCTTCCCTCCCCTTCCCTCCCCTGCCCCTGCCCTCCCCTTCGCTCCCCTTCCCACCCCGTCACCCGCCTTCGCACCCGTTCTTTCCTCCTCTCACCTCTTCCATCCCTTCTCTCCCTTCCCCTTTTCTCCTCCCCCTTCCCTCTCTTCCGTTTCCTTCCCTCCATTCAACTGCCGTTTCCTCCCTTTTTCTCCCTCTCCCTCCCCACCCTCCCTCTTCTCTTGCGTTCATGCGCACTCGTTCCCACTCACATTCCCCCTCACATTGCATCGTGCAGTGGTCGAGTCTTGGGAGACAACACACCTGCTGAGGTACAAGTTATTGCAAAATACATTTATTCTTCCAGCTTTTTTTCTCTCGAATTCTGGGGGTTGGGTTAGCATTTTTTCCAATCTGAACTACACCTCGCCACACCAACACCTGATTTGGTACTTGAGTCAACTCAAAAGTCTCATCACATGCCGCTGCAACACGCCTACACCTGGTCCTACTTCACATTACACATGACCTTTGATTCCGCTCACAATTCACATCATATGTCACTGCCACAAACCAATGTCTGACATTTCTTCCCCCGTTTGCATTTCTGCTCCACCAACAGCTGGGCATTGAGAACAACGACCAGATAGAAGTGATGGTGGAGCAATTGGGAGGAGGCACGTGGCAGCAGCAGCAGTGGCGGTACCTTGTCAGATGACAGATACGCTGTCAGGCTTTTGTTCATTGACAGGCTGACATATTTTTGCCTAAAAACAGGCTTACTGGCCTTTTACCCTTTTTTAGGAACCGGTTCATTTGGTTTACAGGCGGGCTGTTTCCACTTGAACTCATTGGTCGTCGGCACTATGAATGCTGGCGGATCGTTCCATCAGCAGGTGGTTGTTCACTGTAGATTTTTTTACAAGTGTGTTCCATTTTGCTTTGATCATTTATAGTGGATTTGCTTTACAGCAAGCAAAGACATACCGTAAGACATCATTTTGCTTAACATCGCATGGATATAAGACATACCGGAGCAGGGGTAGCACCAGCAGCATCCAAGCACCAGTGGCAGAAGGAACGGCAGCAGGTGGGTTCGCTGGTGGGAGGTTGGGAGTAGCAGTGGCGCCTTTCTTGCCAACAGAGGCTGAGAGATAGAGGTGCCAGAAAATGGCACACACTGACCATGACCTCCACCCTTGCGCACAGAGGACGGGATGAAGGTTAACAGCACAGGTTACGTTTGCTTTTGAGAATTCTCAAAATGTTATTTCCTGAGATGGGATCTCTAGGCACTGGCAGCAGCAGGGGCAGCAGGGGCAGCAGGGGCGGCAGCGCTAGCAGCGGCGGGTGCAGGTGGGAGTTTGGGAGCAGCGGATTCCTTGCCGACAGAGGAGGAGAGATAGAAGTTCCAAAAGATGGCGCACACTGACATGAACGCCACTCGTGCCTCTAACGGGACAACTCTGTAGAGGGGATGGATGGGCAGGGGAGAGATAGAGGGGGGGGAAGGTGAGGGCGAGTGGGGGAGGGGGAGGGGAAGTGGGGGGAAGAAACTGGCAAGGGGGATGGTAATGTTGCGTGCAAGACAGGTTAAAGGTTCAGGTTGAGGATTAACGGTCCAGAGTTTGAAAGTGCATGCTCTTTAAGGTGCAGGGTTTTGAGATCCGGGTTCCATGTGGGCCAGAGAAAGTGATTAAAGAGTGACATAGAGTGTTGGGACGTGGAGTGGTGGTGGTGGTGGTGGTGACATGGAGTGTTGGGACGGGACGAGCGGCTTACGCAAAGTTAAGGCTCGCAGCGGGAATCCAAAACTTCCACCCTGATGTGAGGAGGGGATAGGAGGAGAGTGCAGGAGGAGGAGGCGGGGCAACGGGAGCAAGTAAAGGAGAGCACGGGACAGGACAGTGGGAACCCTTGACTCAAGTTCCAACAACTCAAAGCTACATGTTGATCCAATACATGAATCAGAGGGTGTGGCAAAGGTCTAGTCTACTAGTGATCATACTGTTGATCCTTTATTCCGGAAAGAAGCGACGTAGACTAATCGTGCATCTAACGTTATGTTAATCATATTTTAGCTTACCATCGACAAGAGACGGGAAGAAGTCCCTGCGGTATTTGTCAGGAATGTCTTTGGCCTTGCCCATCCATGCCATGTTCCATGCAAACACCACCAGCAGCACACACGGCCCCAGCACCACCTGATTCGCCGTCACCTGGGAGCATGGGGACAAGTGGGGGAGGGTGCAAGGGCAGAGAGGACAAGAGGAATGGGGGGTTATTATATATGAGTACGAGTACGAAACAGCACCCACCTTGAGCACGAAGTTGGTGAGGGTAGGGGCAGGCAGCGGGCCGTCAGGGCACTCGTACCACGCGTGGCTGCTGCCGGGGCCGTAGAGCAGGAAGCAGCAGCCATGGGGGTGTCACTTGCTTATAGCGAGTACAACCTCCCACCCACCTTGAGCACGAAGTTGGTCAGCGTGGGAGCGGGCAGCATGCGGTCGAGGCACTGGTACCACACGTAGCTGCCGGGGCCATAGAGCAGGAAGCCATATGAGGCCATGCGCAGAGCTCGGATAAAATCGTGCTGCCACAGCTCCTTGTCCGCTACTCCCCGCAGCTGATGGCGCCATGGGGGGAAAGCACAGGGGGAGAGGGTGGGAGGGGTGGGGAGGAAGGGGTGAGTCAAAACCCATCCAGGAGCAGGCAGTAGAGCAGCAAGCCATATGAGGCCATGCGCAGCGCTCAGACGAAATCGTGCTGCCACAGCTCCTTGTCCGCCACTCCCCGCAGCTGATGTGGAAGGGGGGTGGGGGGTGTGGGGGGTGGAAGGGGGGGGGCATGGGAAGCCAGGAAGGAGGGGGCGGGGGGGAAGGTGGGTGGGGAAGGAAGCCATATGAGGCCATGCGGAGAGCGCGGATAAAATCGTGCTGCCACAGCTCCTTGTCCGCCACTCCCCGCAGCTGATGGGGAGGGGGGGATGGCGGGAGGGGAGTGGGGAACGTACGGACGGGATTAAGAGAAGAGGGTGGGAGAAGGTGGTTAAAGGAGGGAGAGGAGAGGGGCGAGGAAGGGAGGGCGGGGGCGGCGGGTGAGGAGGAGGGTGGGGTGGGGGGAAGGAATTGGAAAGCTCAAATCCATTAATAACCCACCCACAAGCCACCCAGCACCCAGCACCACTCCTAACTGAGGCAAAGCACCCTCATTCTGCAGCAAGACGATGCCGCCGCCTCTATCTCTCTACTTGGCCTGCCGCCGTCAGTAACGCTCCACCAGCTGCTGAGATGAGACGCCCCAAAAGGCAGCTGTCAGAAACGGATTTAACCGCCCCCACTCTCACTCCCACCCAAGGCTACTCAGTCTCTTTCTGCAGCACGGCGAGGCAGCCTCTATCTCCCTCTCCTTGGCCTGCCGCCGTCGATACCGCTCCACCAGCTGCTGAGATGAGACGCCCCAAAAGGCAGCTTGGGAAAGGGATCAAACCAACCCCACCACTCCCGCTCCCACCCAAGGCAAGGCAACTCACTCTCTTCCTGCAGCAGGGCGACGCCGCCTCTATCTCAATCTCTTTGGCCTGCCGGCGTCGGTATCGCTCCACCAGCTGTGCTATCGTATCACCTGTCAGCGCCAGCCCACTCGCCGTCACCGCTGCCTTGAGGGGGAACCTCTGGGCGGGGAGAGAAGGACGGGAGGGAAAGGCACGGAAGGGGTGGGGGAAAGGGGAGAGGGTGCGGTGAGGGAAGGACGGAATGTGAGCATTGAGGGACAACTCGCTTGCTGTTGTCACTACTTGGTTGAGAGGAACTTCTTTGGTTGGGGGGGAAAATATGGGAGGGGCACGTGGGGAACGTGGCCAATGTGAGCAATGTTACAATGTTAGCAATGTGAGCAATGTTACAATGTTAGCAATGTGAGCAATGTTACAATGTTAGCAATGTGAGCAATGTTACAATGTGAGCAGTGTTATGTCATCAATGTTATGTCAGCAATGTTATGTCAGCAATGTTATGTCAGCAATGTTATGTCAGCAATGTTATGTCAGCAATGTTATGTCAGCAATGTTATGTCAGCAATGTTATGACAGCAATGTTATGTCAGCAATGCTATGTCAGCAATGTTATGTCAGCAAAGTTATGTCAGCAAAGTTATGTCAGCAATGTTATGTCAGCAATGTTATGTCAGCAATGTTAGCGATGTTTGCAATGTTATGTCAGCAATGTTATGTCAGCAATGTTAGCGATGTTTGCAATGTTATGTCAGCAATGTTAGCGATGTTTGCAATGTTAGCGATGTTTGCAATGTTAGCAATGTGAGCAAATGCCAGCGTGTTGAACTCCATCTACCCACCTCCAGCAACGATCCAGATTGGCCTTTCTTCTGTGATGGTTCTTCCAACGGCTGAGATGCGTCCGATGCACTGCAAGCAAATGGGAAGGTGGTAACAGCATCAATGAAAATGTGGGAGGACGCGTCAACGGGAAGGTTTTGTGCAGATGGAAATGCAATACACTATTAAGACAGGAGCCCAAACCCCAAACTCACAGACCCTAAACCAAAAGCCGGAAGGTCAGTTTGGGTCCAACCTAATCCGTCCAAGAATAACTCTCATTTCCTTCTTTGATAAATACTCAGAAAGCGACTCAGCCTTCTTGGAGCTTTAGTAAGTGCGGGATGAATCCTCACCTGGCTCTAAGGTGGTGCTTGCCGTGCTGCCACGTGGCAGAGAGAGACGAGAGCAGCGAGAGCGACAGCCCTTGGGAGAGCGAGCAGGAGAGGGCCGTCGGCGGCCGAGCGCGGAGCGCGTCAGAGAGAGGGTTGACTCCGTTGACTCCGTTGAAGGGGTTAAACGGCAAACCGCCGGAAGCGGCCATCTGGATTGGCTGGTTAGAAGTCAAAGATCGTCAGTGATGGCGGGAAAACTTGGTTGCTGATTCCTCTTCGCGCTAACGTGATCGAACTGGGGCTAAGTCAACCAGGAGATTATTAAAATTAAAACCAGACTGCAACTGAGTCTGACGGTTATCTGTGCGCCTGATCAATCTGAAAAAGCTGTCGCGTCGACGGATGATTTGTTTGAAGCAGGAATCGATTGCCGGGGAAAAGGGGAAGGACGGTAAGTTCTATTGTCACGTACGGGCTCCACAAGCTTGGCCGTTAGTAATGGAGACCAGCCGTAATAGCTAAGGAGCGATAGTGGTCTTGTCTGGTGTGGGATGGCATCACCTGACTGATCAGGTCTGATGAGGTATAATGGGAGAAACCGAGGGACCTCAGAGATTATCCTGACGACGTTGCGAAGATCCTCGCGAGTCCTTAATGATTTTTGTTACGCTAAACCTTATGAAGCTCAAGACAATAGCCAAAACTACATACGGTATGAATCTTTGCTTTACATTCTTAAAGAATGGGGGTATTCCATTGGACTTCCATGATACACACAGCAAAAATACGTTGTGACTGCTTTGGAAAAGAACGAAAGTGAGAGGATTTGATACTCCTCTTAACTCATGCCGACAAAGGCACCGAAGCCACTAATGGCGACGTCACAGCTGCTTTAGCAGCTGCTTTACCACCTCTTTGCCCAGCAATTGCACCATCCCCAGAATCGCACTCCATCCCGTCACCTTCCCCATTCATCACTCCTCCACCCCCTCCCTTTCCTCCAGTCCGTTCCCTCTTATCTCTCAACCCTCCGCCATCTATCCCATTCACCTTTCCCTTCCCATCTGCAGATGCCCCATTCTCTCCCTCCCTCCTGTCACCACTCTCCTTCCCTTCCCTCACCCCACCCCCCTTCTTCTCCCTACTCTCCCCCCTTTTCCTCTTATCCTCCACCTCCCCACCCCCTCGACCCACCGCCCCACCCGACCCTACGTCTGCACCCGAACCTCCTGCACCAGCCGAACCTAACGGCCGCTCCGGCTCAGGTTCGGCGAGCCAGGAGTGGGCGAGGGCCTGGCGGGCAGTGGCGCGTCTCTCAGGGGCAAAGTCAAGCATGGGGGTGAGGAAGGAGGCGAGGGAGGTGGCTTCTGCTGGGGGGAGGTCGTATTTCTCTGTGAGCACTCGGTCTAGCGGCCAGAACTTGAGGCGCCTTATGTGCCTCAGCTCCCCGTTGCGCGAGAAAAAATCCCTAGAGTACTTGCCTCCTAGGGCGATCTGGATGGGGGGAGGCGTGGCGGGGAAGACAGGGGTGGAAGAGGGGGAGGGAGGGAATGTAGGGGAATGAGGGATGGACTTCCAGTGCCTTGTGTGGCTCAGCCGCTCAGCTCACCAATGCGGGAGAAGCAGCCATGGAAGTACTCGCCTCCTAGAGTGATCCTCGATTTACTTTGAGACTTCTGAAACGTCAGTTCAAATGCATCAGTGCAAAGAGCATGGGTGCAAAGAGGGTGTGCGGTGTGAGTTGAATGCAGGTGTGATTTGAGTGCAGGTGTGATTTGAGTGCAGGTGTGATTTGAGTGCAGGTGTGATTCGAATGCAGTGTGTGACTGACCTTCTTTGGAATCCGACCAATCAGCTCCATCATCAGCGCAAGATGATCCTGCACACACCGCACACAGCAACACAGCCACGACAACAGCGACTCAACAACATTTTGAGGAACGAATGGGGAATTGGAATCACTCTCACTGGAGAGATCCTGGTGAGGTAGGAGTGCAGTAAGAGAGAAGCATGATTGACTGGTCAGCAGACGAGCATGATTGACTGGTCAGCAGACGAGCATGATTGACTGGTCAGCAGACGAGCATGATTGACTGGTCAGCAGACGAGCTTGACAGCAGTCAACAAACTAAATAAGAGCATTCCACCTCATCGCGCGCCAGTAACCAAGCAAGAAAGTCCCACCTCATCACGGTCGAAGTCATGGCCTGAGCGCGGGTCAAAGAGGACGTCCCCAGTGACAAGCTCAAAGGTGAGACAAGCGAAGGACCACATGCCAACTAATCAAGGTCTATGTTTCCAAGCAAGAGCACCCCACCTCGTCGCGGTCGAAGTCGTGGCCTGAGCGCGGGTCAAAGAGCACATCTCCAGTGACGAGCTCAAAGATGAGGCAGGCGAAGGACCACATGTCCGCTGAGGTGGAGTAGCGCGCTCCCAGCAGCACCTCGGGGCAGCGGTACTGGCGCGTCTGAATGTCACTCGTGAACTGGGTGGTGGCGGGAGGGTGGGGTTGGGGTGATGGGGAGTAGCGAAAAGGGCGGAATGTCAAACCCTCAATCCGCAGCACCTCGGGGCAGCAGTACTGGAGCGCTGGAATGTTTTGAGGCGCCTCAAAACATTCCTCAGGGCACTGGTAATAGTCACTCGTGAACTGATTGAGGGTGACGGAGAGCGGAGGGACAGGGGACGACAGGGGCGGGAATCGAGGAGGAAAGGAACAAGTGGATGTCTGAACTGCCAGCAGCCTCTAGGGGCAGCAGCATTGGCGCGTCTGAATGTCACTCGTGAACTGGGAAGATGACACAGACAGGGGGGTGGGAAGGGCTGACAGGGCACCTGCTACATCCACGCACCTGTTACAGCCGCGCACCTGCTTGAACGTCCAGCAGGCATTCCCGAGGTCCATGATCTTGCAGCTCAAGTCCAGCCCTGTCAGGTCCACCGGCCTTTGTGACTTCTGAGTCGACTCAAGGTGACTTTGAAGTCGACTCAAGGTGACTTTGAAGTCGACTCAAGGTGACGTTAATGTCGACTCAAGGTGACTTTGAAGTCGACTCAAGGTGACTTCGAAGTTGACTCAAGGTGACTTTGAAGTCGACTCAAGGTGACTCTAAAGTCGACTAAAACGCACCTGCTTGTATGTCCAGCAGGCATTCCCAAGGTCCACAATCTTGCAGCTCAAGTCCAGCCCTGTCAGGTCCACCGGCCGTTTCTTCCTCCCTGCAAGCTCTGCTGCCGCTTGTGCAGCTGCTGCCTCTGCCCCTGCAGCTGTTGCTCCTGCTGTTGCTGCCGAAGCTTTCTCCCCAGCACTCTTCGCCTCCGCTCCTCCATCACCTCCTGCCGCACCACCACCACCACCACCAGCAGCAGCAGCAGCAGCAGCAGGACTGATGCACGTGCCGGTGCCAGTGGCAACAACAGACGCAGCTAGGTCGGCCAGACCGAGGTAATCCTCCATGGAAGACGAAGACGTAAATACCCCCTTTTGTACGCCCTCTCCCCCTCCCAGTGTTGGCGCTACTGGCGCTGCTGCTGTTGCTGTTGCAGCTGTTGCCTCGCCCCCACTCGCTGGTCCTGCTTCAGCCCCAATCCCCACCCCTTCACCTGGTCCTTTTTCCTTCCCGTTACCTTCGAGCCCTAGGAACTCTTTCAGACCAGCTTCTAACGCGGACGACTCCCTCCCTCCCTCCACCGCCGCTCCCCCTGTTGCTCTGCTATCCGCCGTGTCCTCTACCATCCCCTCCGCGCGCCCTTCCCCCATGCCCGCGCTGCTCTCCTCCATCCGCGACCCCCCCTCACTCTCCCCCATATCCGCCGCCCCGGCTTCCGCCTCTCCCGCTTCTCCCCCTCCCCCGGCCTGTGCCCCAGCAGCGCCACTACCAGCACCGCCAGCAGCAGCAGCAGCTTCGGCCTTCTTGGCTTTCTTCTTCATCTTCTTCCGCTGGTTCTTCGTCAGTCCCGACGACGCTGGTGACGCCAACGGCCCCCCTTCCGCCGCGCCCCTCGCACCACCCCCGCGCCCTCCCCCGGCTCCCGCGCCATCCCCCCCACGCGGAACCGAAACCGGAGGCGGAGGCGGAGGCGGCGGACCGTCCATTCTCCCCCCAATCCCCAGCTGATCATCTATCGACCGCACCAGCAGCACGTTCTCGGGCTTTAAGTCCGTATGGATAATCGATAGCTGCCTGTGCAGATAGTCTAGCCCTGTGAGGATGTGGCGCGCGAGGTGCCTGACTGCGGGGAGGGGGAGCCCGCGGTAGCGGAAGCGGCGGATGAGCGAGAGGAGGTTTTCCCCTAGAGACTCGAAGACCATGCACACGTGCGAGCCGTGCGGGCCCGAGTGGCGGAAGTGGTCCAGTAGGCGCACCACGCACTTGTCGTTCCGCGGATCGCCGTCCGCCACCTGCCAGGAAGGAGAGGTGCGTTGGGGAGGGGGTGGGGGGAAGAGGGGGGGAGAGGGGGGGGGGAAGAAGAAGGGGAAGAATAGAGGGGGGGAGAGGGGATGGGGAGGAGAGGGGAGGGGAATTGGGGAAGCATGGTATGAGCGAGAGGAGATTCTCCCCCAGACTTTCGAAGACCATGCACACGTGCGAACCGTGCGGGCCGGAGTGGCGGAAGTGGTCGAGTAGGCGCACCACGCATTTCTCGTTCCGCGGATCGCCGTCCGCCACCTGGAGGGGAGGAATCGGAGAGAGAAGGGGAGCTGCTGAGGTGATGGATTGAAACCCGTAGACCATGAACACGTGCGAGCCTTGAGTGACGACTGTACTAACTCGATAGCAAACCAATCGGCATTGACCACTGTTAGGGTGACCCCGAAATATCCTTCCTACCTGTCTGAGGAGCTGAACCTCGTCAAGAGCTGACTCGGTATAGTGCGACGCGCTCTTCTGCACCTTGAGAGCCACGTAGCGCTGCAGACACCCACGAAAGACGGAACGGGGACGTCACAAAGTGAGAAACGGGGAGAGGACAGTGTTCAGACAGAAGCCATTCCTGAGAATGGAGATGTCGGAAACGTAAAGAGAGGGACCAGCTCATACGATCGTAATTCGTTAGCTTCAGTTCACCGCATTGAATGCACTCTTCGACCCGTTACGTCTCCGTACTCGAGTTCCTCACCTTGACCTCCTCAAATTGACATATTCCAGGCACATTGTCAGTTACATTTTCCTCACCTCCACGCCTCATCCATTTCATCCTCTCCATTCCCGCTCCATTTTTCCCCTCTCGGTTTCATTTATCGTTGCATCGTACCTTCTCCGTTTCATCCCACGCGAGCCAGACGGTCGAGAAGTGACCCCATCCGAGCTTCTTCACCACGCGATAACGACCATTCCTGAACGAATCGCCGATCTTCACAGGGTGGTAACCACCTAGTTTGTAATCGTCAGTCCCTTCGTCTTCCGACTCCGAAAGATAGTCACTATCGCTAGAACCCTCGTCAGCTGATTCCACTTCGTCACGGTCCCCGGTGTAACCCTTCTCGGGCTTATCGCCGCCGCCTCGGTGGTTCCTATGCTTCGCGTTTGACGCTTTTCCCATCAGGGACTGTTAGAGGTAACGAAGCTGACAATTTGCGATCGGAGAGATTTACGGATAAGGAAGTGAATCGCTCGGAATGCAAGCCGTCCCTCAACTAGGCAAATCCACGACGCTGCTGCAGACCTGTACTAAGATTGCTGCGCGAACAGAGGCTCTGATTCCGTTAAAAGCGCCCTCCTAGATGAGCGGAAAACCACTGCCGATGAAGAGGTACAAGGACTCAACAGGTGTCACTCGTGAAACGAGCAGAACGTGGGAGGATTCAGAGATCGTCTGCCATAGAAGCTTCAGCTGGATCTGGCCTTAGTCCTGACGTATGAACTACAGTATCAGGAGAACAAAGATACTGTTACTGCAAGATTTCAAGGTTGCATTACGGAGTGGTCAAGAACGATGAACAAAACATCTAGGGAGGTAAACAAATAGTTTACCTCGGTTTGCGGACCTAATAGGACACATCGTTGGCTGTGTGCTTACAGGGCTTGTGGTTCAGGGCCATGCCGTTGGCATGGCACTGGATCATGTCTTCTTTCCGCTGATTGGTCGACGCAAACGGCCACTGACGTACACGTACATGATGGGATGGCCATCGCGGAAAGGGCACACTAATTTGTGGCTGAGAAGTCCCATGGCTGAATGTCCAGCGAAGAAATGGTCCAATAATTACTGTTGCAGAAGTAAGCTACAGCTTTGAAACCTATTACCACAGCACCATATGTTGATACATATCTTCTACCAATAAATCCTTTCACTACCAACCTATTCTAACTACCCCTCAACTTATCACAGAAATCAGCCAATACTTCAATCTCCTTCTCTCCACCATAGTTGGTTTGTTGTCGTCTGCAATCTCCTATGGGTACTTGATATAGAGAATTTTATCAAAAGGAGGGAGTTTTCTGAAATATTGTTTTTTTTTCAGCATAAACATGTACCAATAATTTTTGGGACCATCTCAAAGCTGGTCTAGAGGACTGTTAGATTCACATCCAGGAAGCCTTCACATAGAGACTTGGTACTTAATGTGAAGCGCTTTTGGCGAGGACCGATACTCCCGCTAAACCTTCAACTCAAATAGTTCCATTACTTTCGGCAATTTCGAATTGCGGAATTCCTCGGAGGGTGTGGTGAAGTTTTACGTACAATACGAGTCGTTCTGGGCGTTATGACACAAACTGGGTGTGGATGAAGGGAAGAAATTGTGAGCAAGGTTTGGAAGATGGTGAAAGTGAGGTTTCTGAACACGCCCCTCGAGGTTGACGCACTGCCAGTGCAACACTGTCAGCCATGACTGACGCAGCCTTGTTCTGACTTCTGACACGGTTTTTGGCGCACGACAATATGCTTTTGTGAGTCGATAGGCCAGTTTAGCTTACCGTTGGTTTTGCCTAATATTTCATTAGGCCAATCTGGTGGTCAGCGTATTTGCGTGCACGATCGTGATAGGCAGGTGGAGGAACCATGCAAACGCGATCGAGGAGTAAGCGATCCTTAGTGTCGGCCTTCGAGGAACCTTCGGACTCCGTCTCTACGAAGAAACGCGTTACGAAAAAATATCTAAATGACTCAGAATCGTTGGCCGAGGTAGCTCCATCTGTCGCCTCACAAGCGGATAGTCAGCCGTGCAGCAGCCGGAATCGAAGAGCGGCCGCGACGAATTCGACGAATGCGACGGCTGCGACGAATGCGAAGAACGCGACTACTGCTGCCACTACTGCTAAAAACGCGAGGAGTCGCAAGGCTGCGAGCATTACCAGGAATTCGAAAAAAACTATCGTTGCGAAGGATGGCGTCGTTGCGAGCTCTGTTGCATTCAGCTCGCCTGACGAGGTTAACACCAACAGGGTTGCCACCAGGAGGGTTACAACTAGAAGCAGAAGCGGGAGCAAAGACGGAAGCAAAGACATAAACCAATGCGAGGCGATTAACGTCAGAAGAAGCAGCAGAAATGGAGGACCTACCACCGCTACCGAGAGCCGGGAGGTTGTCAATATGGTTTTTACCAGCAGCAGCAGTCCCGAAGACGGAGGTTCCGTGAATCATTCTCCGCATGATTCGGCCGAGAAATTTTTCTCACCGCAGGTGGAGGTCAAACCATCCGAGCCGGTTCAGAAGGCTCTGTTCCGGTCCCCTGAGGACCCTTGCGAGGCGGAGGAATTCCTCTCGCCTGCTTCAGACGCGGCGTTTTCCGAGGCTGGGGATAGGCAGGTGCCTGGACTGAATGTTGTCGCCCGTGAAGCACTGAAAGACGATTCTCCTGCGTCAGTTGTAGCCGTTTCAGAGGGTTCCAAGGGAGGGAATTCGCCTGTTTCAGATGCAGCCGTTCTTGCAGAGTCTAAGAAGCATTCACCTGCTTCAGCAGCACCAGCCGCACCAGCAGCACTAGTAGCAGCACCACCATCAGCAGCACCAGCAGCCGTCAGTTGCTTACCCAACGCCTCTGCTTCCATCCAAGCGTCAAGTAAACCAGCAGCGAATGGATCCGTGACACGTGTACCAATGAACGTGGACAACGTGGCTGCTGGAGTAGGTTCTTGGGCCCCACCTCGGCCGCCTGTAGCGGATGTGATTGCACTGAGCGACGACAGTGACAGTGACGGTGACGCTAGGCCGCGGAGGCTGCGGAGGAGCGGCAGAGGCGCGCGGGGGAGAAGAAGGGGCTGTGCAGCTAGCAAGGCCTTTGCTGCTGCGTGCAGCAGTGCTGCTCTTATCGTGCTGGATGATGATGATGAGGACGATGAGGAGAGGGAGAGGGAAAGGGAGAGGGAGAGGGAGAGGGAGAGGGAGAGGGAGAAGGAGAGGGTGAGGGAGAGGGAGAGGGAGAGGGAGAAGGAGAGGGAGAAGGAGAAGGAGAGGGAGAGGGAGAAGGAGAGGGAGAAGGAGAAGGAGAGGGAGAGGGAGAGGGAAAAGGAGAAGGAGAAGGAGAAGGAGAGGGAGAAGGAGGAGAAGGAGGAGAAGGAGAAGAAGGAGAAGGAAAACCAGGAGAAGATTGGGAAGGAGAAGGCAGAAAAAAGAGCAGCTGATGCGGTCACAGGTGGTGCAAAGGTGGGCGTTGTAAAGGAGAGCAGTACTGAAGTGGTTGACCGTAAGCCAAACTTTGGTGTAAATATTCGAGCATTTACTGCAGGAGTAGCACCAGTGGCAGCACCAGTGGCAGCACCAGTGGCAGCACCAGTGGCAGCATCAGCAGCAGGAGCAGCACAGGCAAATGGCGGCACCAGTAACAATTCTGAGGATGAGGAGGACGAGGAGGATGACGAGGATATAGAGGACCTGTTCACGTATGGGAATCTGGGTATGACTTTCACACGCCCCACAGTTCCTAGCAAGCCTTCCAGGCCTGTGGGTGCCACTGGTAATAACGCCACTGAGGAGATGGAGAGAATCGAGGGTGGTGGTAACCCTATCAACCCCGGCCTGCTCTCCCCCCGCCTAACCTCCCCCCTTGGCTCGCCTGCTGCTCCATCTCGCGTAAACCCCCTCAGTCCCAGCAGCAAGGCTGGCAAGACGGGTTGCATGAGTCTTACTGGCAACCCTCTCAGCCCGTCTTCCCAAGATCTGCTCAGTCCCGGCCGATCCGGAGCAGGAGCAGTGGAATCAGCAACAGCGGCAGCGGCAGCACGTAGTGAGCTTAGCAGATTTCGGCTGCACCAATCCAAGGGTCACCGGCGTGGGGCTCTCGCGTTTCTCGCCTCCGAACCTGCCTCAGGCTCGGGTTCAGGCTCGGGCAAGGCAGGCGAGACAAACGCAGCTGTGATCTCCTCTACTACCGTGCCCCATGCCCCACATCCGTGTGCCATGCATAGCGCCATGCCAAGCCATCCAGCCTCCCATGCTGCTGCCATGCCGGGCTATGCAGCAGCACATGGGGACGCTGAGGCAGGGAAGGAGAGGGGCGATGGAGAGGAGGCGTGGGATGGGTGGGGGGAAGGGAGTGATGACCGCGGGGCAGGTGAAATGGATGACCCTCAGCTGGAGCTGTATCGAAGGGAAGTGAGGTGAGTGGTTATTTGAGGGATGGATGGGGTAGGTGAGGAGTGGGTGGGTTATAAACTGACTGTGACGATTAGGTTTAACAAATAAGTGATTGCAGATTATGTTTTCTTACATATTTTTTACCCTCCTTTTGTCGTGCTTTTGTGGTCCGTTGTGCAGCCATTTCAGGGAGCAGCAGGCAGAGTTGGCTCGGATGAGGGAGCAGCTGTCAGACCAGGGGCTGCGGCAGCATGTGATGTCAGCATGCCCCGTGCCTTCACCAGAGCCGCAGCTGAATAGGCCAAGTGGTCACAACGAAACTCGCAGCCAGTTGGACGGAGCAGCAGCGGCGACGGCACCAGCAGGATCACAAGCAGCAGCAGCAGCGGCGGCGGCAGCACCAGCAGGAGTAGCAGAAGCAGAAGCAGCAGCGATGGCGGCGGCTGTGGAGGCGGCTAGAAGGTTCAGATCGAGAGGCAGCAGGAGATTAACAACAACTGTGGACGTCATAAGAGAAGGTTGGGCTGCAGCAGTAGCAGCAGCCGGAGCAACAGCAACAGCACCAGCACCAGCACCAGCACCAGCACCGGCAGCTGTTGCAGCACCAGCACCAGCAGTAACACCAGCTGTAGCACCAGCAGCGATAGCAGCAGCAGGTGTTGCAGGGTGGAGAGGGGGAGTAGCAACAGCATCAGCAGGGAGAGTACCACATGTGACTTACCCCCATGCAACACCAGTAGCAGCAGCACCACCAACACCAGCAGCAGCAGCAGCAGCAGCAACAGCTAGGGCAGCCACCCCTGCGAGTTACAGGATCGCAATGAAGCAAAGAACAGCAGCAGCAGCCGCCGCTGCTAGGGCAGCCACTCCCGCCAGTTACAGGACCCCAGTGCAGCAAAGAGCAGGATTCGCTGCTGCCAGTGCCGCTGCTGCAGGGAATGCAAGTGCGGGTTCAGGGCATATGGGAGGAGGGCATGTGAACGGGGGGCACGGGGCAGGAGGGGGAGAAGCAGCGGAGCATGGGGAGGAGGGGGGAGGCGAGCGGATTCGGCTGCGGGTGACTGGGAGCCTGGGAGAGCACATGTTCCGACTGGCCAAGGTGGGATGAAATCTTGCATGTGTTGTTGCATACCGTAACTGCCATTTGAAAACTCGCAAGTCTCCCTGCACTAGAAAGTGCTCCCTGCCAGGGTGACAAGGTATATTTTTTTTTTGCTGCCAGGGAAACAGGGCAACAAGCTGCCATGTGGCTAGCGTGGGGAGTGACACCACGAGTTGCAACTTCCCTCATTCTGTCGTCCCCATGTGCTCATCTTTATCTCCCTCTCTCCCTCTCTCTCTTCTCTCTTGCATTCCTGCCAGGGCGACAAGCTGGAAAAGCTGTTCACGGCGTATGCCAACAAGGTGGGGGGGTTGCCAGTGGGCTCGTTCAAGTTTGTCTTTGATGGCGATGCGCTAAAGGGTGATTCAACACCGGCTGACCTGGACCTAGAGGATGAGGACCAGATAGAAGCTGTGCGGAAATAATCCCAGCAACATACTACCACACTACCCTTTCAGCATGAATGTGCTCATTCAAGTTTGTCTTTGATGACGATGCACGAAGGAGTGATTCTACACTGGCAGACCTGGACCTAGAGGATGAGGATCAGATTGAAATGTACAGATGAAGGGTCTCTTGGCATCAATGTTTCAACGCAAGCAACCATATGATGAGGATGGGCAGAATCCATGTACGGTACCGTACTTTCTCAGCGAGCATCCCCTGTCAATTGTGGGAGAAGCGTCCCTCAAAGCACACATGCTGAACCTGAACATTCTTAGCAGGACCACATGAAACAGTCAAGGCACGTAGGCAGCCAGCAATCAGTGGCATTACATATCGGTAGTTCAAACCATTTTAGTAAATGTACAACATGAGTGGACTAAAAGCTTCTAATTTTAAACGAACAAACCACCCTGTTAGTCTCCAGACCACCACCAGTCCACAAAGCCTGCTGCACTGGTGGCAGCTATGGTGTGTGACGCGTAGACCACCAATCCACAGCACCTAAACCCCACCTTGCTTCTTCGACTCTTCAATCAGCTGCTTCACATAGTTCCGCACTATCTCCTCCCCCTCTTCACTCCTCTTGGTGCCGCACTGGTGGCAGCTGTGGCGGCGAGGGAAGTTGACGTTTTGGCACGAGGAGCAGGCCCAGTTGCCGTTTACTCCCACCACGGGGCGAGTGTGATTCAGCCCCCGCTGCGATTGCAGAGCTGCTGGATCGCCAAACTCCTGAAATGTTGAGTAGAGTGCGAAATAGGTTGAACAGTGGGAGTTAACATGGGGCAGGCGGTGCTTGAAGGCAGGCATTTGGCATGTATGAAGAATAAAAACGCCATAAGGGTACAAAGAAGGGAAGGCACGAGAGAAGAAACAGGGCAACACAACAGGGAAATGGGGCCGTGGTTCCAGGGTAAGAGGGCACATCAGTCTCATCAGATTACATTGTCATCCGCAGGTGGGACATGGACAAGGAGAGCTCGTGAGCCCACCCCATCCATGCACACTAGGTTCCCTGCCGTTTGTGTTCCACATCCTCTGTGCCCTCGTCATCAGCCAGCATGAGCAATACTATAAGTTGAACAGCATCCAGCCACTCTTTAATCAGTCAAGTATTGGCGCCTATAGTCTCGCCTCGCTCTGCTACTTATTGAACGACAGGACAGCTTAAGGGGGTAGGGTATAGGGTAGTAGGGGAGAGCTGACCAGGGAAAGAGCGTGGGAGCATCAGCCTGAAGTTCATTAGTTTGTTTTTGTTGGCACAAGGGCGGCAGAGGCCCAGAGGACCATCTCCCGCCTTGCCGTAATAGGTTGTCATCATTGCCCCCGTTACTAGCACATCTCGTCATATGAGACACAGCAATGACGCTCAGATCACCTCAACAAAGAGGTAAGCTACAGGGACAGCTAAAGAGCACGAGAAGGGAAGGATGAAGATTGAGAGACAATACCGAAGGGGGCATCAGCCTGAAGTTCATTAATTTTGTGTATTTCGGCACAACGGCAGCATTTCTGCTGCCTTGCCATAGCGATTGTCCTCATCGCCCCCCTAACATTCACATTTAGCCAGAACCAAATCTCTTCTAAGTGCAGACACCAAACTAAGGAGAAATCAAGTGGCTCGTGACAGCAGCACATGCAGACAGTACTCACCCTGAGGAAGTCACTCGGGCGATCCTTATAATCCTCGAAGCTGATATTAGCGGGGATGGGCTTCACAGACGGAGGCCGGGGGGTAGGCGCAGACGTCATGGCCGCAAACTGCGGCATCCCGCCCATCTGCACGTATCCCCCTGGCGCAGGCTGGTAGAAGTACGCCATTCCCGCTTGATCCCCTCCCACTGAACCCGCGGGTGCGTAACCGTAGGCGGCCGCCGCCGCCATTACCGCGTTGTTAGCGGCGGCGGCGGAAGGATCTCCGCCGCCCCCGGGGATGTTCATGCGCGACTTCATGGTTTGGAGCCAGAGCGTGGCGGAGGCGAGGCATTCTCCCGCGTCAGCGATGGGGTCTGCTGACATGGCGAAGCTCGCAACAAGCTGCTCCGCTAACCGCTTGCCTTCGGCAGCCGCACTGTGGAAGAGAAATGGGCGTAAGGTAAGAGAATGAGGGTGAGTAGAGAAACATGCAAGTGCACGAGAACGACAAAATGGGGGGACATCTGCATGTAAGTGGAATGAGGGTATAAGAGGATGGCGAAGTGTAGCAACTAGTAAATCAACCAACTGTATACCGACGACCAAACGTCTGTTACTAACAACCAACTGCACCCGCGGCTAAACGCCGTTACTTACCTAAGCGTGGACCTTCGGCCTGCACCAGCACCATAACCGGGGTCAGCAGCCACCGTGTACTGAGACGCAAGAGTCGCACCAGCACCAAAACCACCATCACCACCACCAGCACCAACACCAAAACCAGCTGCCGCAGCTGCACCGTAGGGGTCATGCTGCAGTACCTGCACCTGAACCGGCGGACAATGAATGCGGTGGTTTACCACAGGCAGCGGTATACCCACGAGAGTAATGAACAAGCAGAGTACGCACCGAATTCTAGATAAACGACAAACCAACGAGTGAAACGCAGCGCAAGAGCAGACGACCGTGCAAACCACCAAAATTAGTACCAGAAATACGGAATTAAGTAGTAAGTCTACCAAGAGCACCATGTAAGAGAACCATTTACGACCTAGACCGGGAATGTAATACAGATTTTGCATCCTTACTCTGCCTTGGTTGTAACCGTAACCACCCGCGTCGCCCGTTCGCTGGCCTCTCATTCGCTTGTTGTACTCCGCCACTATCGTGTCGCCTACGGGTCCCCGCTGTCTCCCGCATTTATGGCACTGCGAAAAACCAGCGTCGGAAGTTAGCGGGTCACAAAAAAAAAAGGATTTTGGATCTACAATCACTATTAAATATTACTGAGAAACAACGCTAGGTAATGACAGTTCGTACCTCAGTGCGACGAGGGTAGTTGACATTGAGACAAGCCGAATCTTCGCAGACCCAGTTCCCGTCTTCCAGTGGAACGGGTCGCTTGGATCCACTGCAGGGAGATATTGCAACGAGACACAAGGGAGAGAAACAAGGATTGAATGTCTTGCGGGTAACACTTGCAATAAATAATATTAATGCACATGCATGATCGCAATAATTCAGCATGACAAAACTTGTGATTTAGTTACCTTGCCTGCCTAGGCTGCGGACCATAATCAGCCATCACCACTCAGCTGACAATCTCGATAACTTGTCACGCGAACTTGTGAGCTGACAATCTCAGTTGATGCCTGAACAAACGAAACCCTGAGGCACTAGGGTTTCACAAGCGCAGGAGGATCTTCCCTGACACTAAAAGACTAAATATTTGAGAAACGAGGAAATGGGTTGTTGGGTTTTATGAGAGATGGAAGGAAGGATAAGGAAGTAGAGGACGGCCAGTGGGCTTGGAGAGGGATTTGCGAGAGGTTTGCGTTATTGGCTGCCTCGAGTTGTAGGGATTATCTTAGTGTAAATGTAAAGTACTAAAAAACGTTGTCTTTTATACGAAGAGATAGCTGGTTCCGCTATTATCGTTTGTATGTTCTTATGGGAGCATCCCGTTTCAGTGCAGTCGTCGTCGTCGCAAAGGAATCGTTACACGCGCGGCGGGAGATGCGCTTCGTACACTTGTGGTGGGGAGGGGAGTTCTACACCGCCAGTTTTGCTGTGGTGTGGTGGTGTGGTCCCCTCGCCATCCCTTCCACCACAACCGAATCATTGGTCCTAAAGTGCCTACCTGGCGTCGCTGTTTCTCTACGACGCCACGTAGACCTACCAGAGGCTGCTAGACGCTCTTCCACGAAACTATTGCGACCTCGCACAAGGAGGCTGTTTGGAAATGGGTCACTCGGGATTGGCGGGAAGTTGGTCACTTCTACACGGTGGCAATCAGGTAAAATTGGCAGACTGACACGCCCTTTGCAGCGTCCACTCCACGCCACGGGAATCCAGCTTCAACAAGAAGAGATACCTTCAATTGAAGAATCTGATCTTACTGAAATCAACAAGCTTCTCAGTCTCCATTCTCCGAACCTCCATTCTGTCTACTAACAGAAATTTGACTGTCATCGCAAACGTCTAGCAGCCATGGATCCTGCTTCTGAAGCTGCCAGGACCGACCTTATGACACTGACCAGACATGTGTTGAATGAGCAGTCCAAGCACCCAGAAGCTCGTGGAGATCTCACCATTTTGCTCAATCACATAGTCCTCGGCTGCAAATTCGTCTGCTCTGCAGTTAACAAGGTGCACAGTCCACTCAAGAACGCAGTTCGTCTGAATAGGCGCCTCGTTTCCCCTTAGCTTCTTCCCAGTCTTGCTGATACGAGTGATCGTATCTTTGTTGCAGGCTGGCCTCGCAAAGCTTATTGGTTTGGCCGGCGAGACAAACGTCCAAGGAGAGGAGCAGAAGAAGCTTGACATTCTGTCCAACGATGTGTTCGTCAAGGCCCTTGTCAGCAGCGGCCGAACGGTACGTTCCAGTGACCAGGCGCTCGATAGACCATGATAAATTAGCGATTCACTGTGCGTGTTGCATTCCTGTTTGCAGAACGTTCTCGTGTCCGAGGAATTGGAAGATCCTATTTTCGTCGATAAAAGACTGCGCGGAAGGTAACGTTTCTGGTGCTGCTATCTCTGACCGTGTTATTTTCTTGAGTTGTGTCACTGAGTATGCGAATGACGTTGTTGTTCTTTCTTTCAGGTATATCGTGGTCTTCGACCCGCTCGATGGATCTTCCAACATCGACTGCGGAGTGTCCATCGGAACAGTGAGTGCTGGATGATTTAGCCCGATGTAGATGAGAAGTAAAACGTACAGTCGGTGCGTGCTTCCAAAATCTCCACGCACTCCCGCTCTTCAAAGGTGGGCAATCATACAAGGGCTTGAATGAACGCAAAACCTGGATAGCCAGATGGACAGCAAGTTGTTAGTGAAAGTAATGGGCAATATATGAGAGTCAGAAACGCAAGATGTGCCGAGACATTCGCTGCAAGATAATACACCCCCATCACTTATTTTCAGATTTTCGGTATCTACATGCTCCAAGCGGGCGATGATGGCGTCATTCCCGAAGGCACGATTGAGGATGTTCTGCAGCCTGGAACCAAGATGGTGGCAGCAGGCTACTGCATGTATGGCAGTTCGTGCACGGTACGTGTGGTTCTTGAGCTGGCCCCAACCTGCTGTGATGGAGCTTATACGTTCGCTGTGTTGTCTCGTGGAGTTTCATTCTGTGTTTTGGTACTGACAGTTTCCTACTGTGCGGTTCTGCAGCTTGTGCTGAGCACCGGTAATGGAGTTAACGGGTTCACCCTGGATCCGTCTCTCGGGGAGTTCATCCTCACTCACCCCGACATTCAGGTGAAGATTGCAGTTTTTCGTCGTGGAAAATGTAGCAAGCGTGTACCGGAGCGCATGTGTACAATCCTCGTCTTACCAGGAGTTCAGCTCTCTCAGTGTGAAGTAACCCTCGCGAATGCACCTGCAGATGCCCAAGAAGGGGAAGATTTACTCAGTTAATGAAGGGAATGCACTGAACTGGGATGAGCCAACCAGAAAGTAAGTAGAAGACGCCAGCCTCTAGCGTCCTGTTTTTTGGTGAACATATGCGTAGTAGTGTATTGTTGGTGTCTCATCTTTGAGCTGTCGTGGTCCAGGTTTGTGGAGTCCTGCAAGTTCCCAACTGATGGCTCGGCCCCGCGTTCCCTTCGCTACATTGGAAGGTGAGGCTAACATCTAAATGCCAGTGTCCCTTACTGTCAACCTTCAGTGAAAGTACTCACGTTTGTTGTCCATTCCGTTTATGCAGTATGGTGGCAGATGTGCACCGGACACTTCTGTATGGTGGAGTTTTCTTGTACCCGGCTGATAAGAAGAGTCCCAATGGCAAATTGAGGTAAGAGATGTTTAAGTTTCAAGGTACAAGCTTGTGAAAAGAGGACACATTTTTTAGTTGTGGTCTTTTTGTTCACAAATAACTCTTGGCTCATTGATACAATTTCAATCTACTGTGCAGGGTGCTGTATGAAGTTTTCCCGATGTCTATGTTGATTGAGCAAGCAGGCGGTCAGGCTTTCACAGGAAAACAACGTGTAAGTGTCTAGCAGCAGAGTTTCATCCGTTCTTTTCTTTCCTCTTACCGCTTAGTTGTATTTGTGTCGGGCCCTAACTTCGGAAAAGAAATGACTCCTGTTTTCTACGTTTGCAGGCCCTGGAGCTCGTTCCAACCAAGATCCATGACAGGTCCCCTATCTTTTTGGGCAGTTATGACGATGTTGAGGCTATTAAAAATCTGTATGCCGCTCAAGCTTAGAGTTCAAATACTGTGTGTAACGGGCTGGATGTGTTGTTTAAGCCTTCAAGTTGGAATTAAGAAATTTTGTCGAATGCCTTTTCGCTGAAACTATGTTTGTCGAATGCGGTTTCAAACGAGTACAGTCCACGTCAGGCCGCGACCCGTCAGGCAGACACAGGTCGTGTCAGGCGGGAGATTCCTGGGCTCGATCTTAGCACAATAATCCTTCAAGCAAAGCTGTTTGCACAAGTCCCTCCTTCGGAAGACTTCACCGTATTTCACGAAACTCGTGTGATCTGTTCCCTGCATTTCGTCCTGAGACAACACGACCTCTTGTTGAGTCGGCATTTAGTCTGTCGGCTGTGGGCCGTATCGTTACTCCAGCCGTTAGGTTCGTCAACGCAATCCCCGTCGCATATAGTTATATAAATCGACTGTGATTATGAAGCATGTCTAGAGTCGCCGGCCTGTCCTCTGCATTCTGACCACTGCTATCGTGTCGTCCTTTTTGAATGGTAGCGGGTCCGCATCCGGGAAAGCGGAGAGCTTACTATCGTGGTGCCATGGGAGCGTTGCGGACGCCGTTAAAGAAGGCGCCAGCCGGCCTCTTCCGTTTCGGCCTCAGATTTGTGATCCTCCTGTTCGTCGTCGTTATGGTCGTATTTATATTAGAGACCGGAAAGCTGGCAGACAGACAACGAAAGTCGGAGTTTGAAGAGCGTAAGCTTCTTAATTTCAAGTGAAAGACATCCTCCCTGCAGCTGGCCACATTTGCCACGTGTTCTGCGTCAATCCTGAATTCCATGGATCTCTCTTGTGCGACTTCTTTAAAAAAATGCGTACGATAATCTTTCAGGCCAAAGCGCCTCGGCCTCAACCGTCCATTCGTTGTTCCTCTCGATCTCCGTTTCGCTTCGGTTCGCGCTCTCAGGTGTTTTCCACGTTTAGCTCGCTTTATTATTTCCCTCTCGATCGTCATCACCTTCATTCCTCGTTCTGGTCCCTTCCCCCCAACCGTCGCCGAGGCAGTGCGAGAGCAGTCGCTGAGGAAGATCCTGAGGCAGCACGAGATGGAGATTCAGGCAGCCATCGACAAGAACATTGGCTGGTTCTCACACTACCTCTCCAGACTCCGTCTGTCGTCTCGTGCTGGGGCTGGAAGAGGTGGGTTTTTGTGTTTTTCCAGGTGCGCAGGCATAGAAATAAGCTTCACGGTGCTGTCGATGGCAGCAATGGCAGGTAATTGTAGTGAATTTTCAGGTTCCAAGCGTCATTCCGTGCTAGAGCTGAGTATCTGAAGTTTACCCCGTTAGAATGGGTGATTTGCAAATGCACCTTGGAACTCTGACAAGTCGTGCTTTATCTGCTCATTCGTTACCTGTCCGAGCTCGCCATTTCACTGATGACGGAGAACTTCGCCATCTGTATGATGTTTCTGCCTGTTTATGTGTGTATGGGTTTCCCTCTCTGTTCGTGCGACCAGACGAGGACGACGATGATGACACTAGCAGCGTGTCTTCACACTCAGCCTCCGCTACAGACACACTCGCCACTGGCACATCTGGGGGGAACGAGCGTGGCGGGGAAGCAGCGGGAGGCGGAGGTGCTGGGGGAATGGCGGGTGGTGGGGGGGAGAATGGGAAAGGCGGTGGCGAGGGTCAAGGGGGAAAGCGGAAGAAGGGGAAGGAGCAGGATCTGTCGAATGTGGGCAATTTGGACATGCCCATGCACAAAGTGCACGGGGTCTTGGAACGTGAGTGTTTAGGAAAGTGTTAGTTGAGTATTGGAAAGTGGGAGCTTACCCTTCCTTGATCCACCCACCTTCGTCTCGCCCTTGGTGTTTCTTACTCTATCCCATTCTTCTGTCACTTCTTCCGTCTTAATACCCACTCATTCTCTTCCTGCTCATCTGCCCAATCCATCCCCCTTCCAACCCCCGCAGCCTGCCTCCCTCTGTTGCCCGAGCCTGAACTCTCACACCTGCAGCTGCCCGAACCTCTCCCGGACACAGTAGTGACGCGCCTTCGCTATTATCACATGGACGAGGACGCAATCGAGATCGAGAGCACACTAGGCGCCAGGCAGGGCCAGCTGGGGCGAACGGTCCAGCTGGACATGTTCACAGGGAAGCAGACAATGGGAGAGAGGGCCAAGAGCTTCCGGGTGCAGGCGAGCATGGAGGTGCACTGTGGGTTTGCGGGGCCCAACACGGGGTTCACGGTGGCAGAGGCGGACCAGCGGTGGCTGAAGCGGTGCCAGGTGGCAGTGGTGACCGCGATATTCGGGGGAGGTGACATCCTCGTGCAGCCGATCGGGATGACGCAGGAGTCTCTTCAAAAGGTGCGTGGTGCGTGGCTAAAGCGGTGTCAAGTGGGGGAGGTGACATCGTGGTGGAGCCAATTGCGATGACGCAGGCTGCAGGCGACTTTGGAGAAGGTGCGTGCGCGGGTGACTTAGAGTCGACTTAATAGTGGTGATGGCCATATTTTGGGGAGGTGAGGTGACATCCTGATGCAGCTATTGGGATGACGCAGACGTCCCTGGAGAACGTGCGTGCGTGAGTGGGGATGGTGGAGTGGTGGGGTGGGGTGTGGTGAGGTGTGGGGATGGTGGGGTGGGGGATTGGTGCAGTGTGAGGGTGGGGATGAGTCTTAATGCGCGGGTGTGGAGTTGTAGTGTGAGGATTGCTAGGGGCATGGGAATGTGTATGGGAAGGTTGGGTTTGGGATGGGTTTGAGACGAGCTGGGCAGCAGCTATGCACAGGGCCACAGGCTACGTCCTCCTATGAATGAACCCTTAATGCATTTCTTCATCCCCCCCTGGCATGCTTCAGGTGTGCTATGTGGCATTTTGGGACGATGTGACAGCAGCAGCGCAGGCAGAGGCAGGGGTGGTGCCAGATAAAGACACCATGAGGGTGGGGCTGTGGCGCATTGTCATTGTCAAGGACCTGCCGTTTGTGGACCAGCGGAGAAACGGGAAGATTCCCAAGGTGAGCGCACCAGGGTTGCCAGTTCAGGGGTTTCTGATGATGCTCATCACGCTCTTCCCATCTATCACCCTACCCCCTGTGCCTCCTTACCCCCCTCTACCCCCTTGTATATCCTGTGCCTGGCCCCTGTGGACCTGTTGCTCCCTCCTTAATCGTCTATGTCTGTCCACTCCCCAACAGATCTTATCTCGTTGCCTCTTCCCCCGCGCCCGCTTCCCAATCGGGGTCGACTCGAAGCACCAGCTCCGCAGGGACACCCTCAGAGTGCTCGACACATTTTTCCAATCTCTCACCATGCCACTTGTGCCCCTGTGCCCCCATACCCTCCTGTGTGTCCACCTGTTTATCTCTGTGCATGCCCTCCTGTACACCTGTCCCTCCTTGCCATGTCTGCCTACTCACCATGCCCCACTGACAGATCTTATCTCGTCGCCTCTTCCCCCGCGCCCGCTTCCCAATCTGGGGCGACTCCGAGTACCAGTTTCGCCGCGACCCCGTCGGAGTGCCCGGCATGCTTTTCCGACCTCTTATCCTGTGCTTCTGTGCCTCTTTACCCCCATGTACCCACTTGTGCCCCCTGGAACCCTGTGCATGGCCGCTGCACCCCTGTTCCTCCCTCGTTTGCAATCTCTGCCTACTCACCATGGCCCAACAACAACAGATCTTGTCACATCGTCTCTTCCCCCGCGCCCGCTTCTCCATCTGGGTTGACTCCAAGTACCAGTTTCGCCGCGACCCCCTCGGAGTGCTCGACACGCTGCTGTGGCGGCAGCAGCCGCGGGCAGAGTTTGCGATATCGGAGCACGGGGCAAGGAGCTGCATCTATGCGGAGGGGGAAGCGATAGTGAGGAAGCACAAGGCTCAGCCGGAGGAGGTTGCAGTGCAGCTGAACCAGTATCGCACAGAGGGGCTCCCGGTTAATGCCACTTATAATGGGAAGAAAGGTGAGGGAAGTGGATGAACGTGGTTGCTTGGAAGGGTGGGCTTCTCGTTCGATCGGCGGTTGATTGAGCACTGATATCGTCCTTTGTTTGTTTCTTTTTGTGTGCGAGGCATCTGACAAGTGTATGTTTTCTTCCCCTCTTCTACAGCATTGGCAGAGGCGTCCATCATAGTGAGAGAGCACACGGCAGCCATGAACCTGTTCATGTGCCTGTGGTTCAACGAGATGGTGCGATTCACTGCTCGTGATCAACTCAGCTTTGGCTACACGCTTCGACGACTCGACCTGGTGAAACCAAACATGTTCCCTGTGTGCACACGACGGGCGCTAGTAAACGCTCTCGGCCACAAGCGTAAGGCAAAACCACTTGCGCATGGAGTGTCCTGAATATAGGTGATGCATATTTACATTAGGAATATTAGTAGGTGTCTAATGCAATTGTTGTCAGTGTATGTCCGTTTCAATAAGCACCCCAAAACCAGTTTCAGAGGTCAAGGATGGTTGGTTGGTTTCGGCGACGAGCTTGCGACAGCATGCTGCAAATCTATTGGTTTATCGGTTCCCGCCAAGGGCTCGGGTCGCTCTGTTATGCCCCGAGATCTCCAAATGAACCTCAGCCATGGATCCGCTTTCAATTAGGCTTCCCAACCAAGCCAAGTCGCCAGGCTCGGCAGACGTGAGTATAGGGTCACCCAGAGGCACGGAGGTTCGGCGTTGTGACTCTCAAATCATTTGTAGCCGATGCGTCAGCCTGGGCTGCCAAATCCAGATTCGAGGGATGGCCTTCTGGATTTCAAGCAGCATATGCAGTCCTCACCTGACAGAAGACATGATCAGAATCAATTAGCAGTTTCCACTAGCTCGTGCAGCAGTCTTGGAGCGCGTTCCGTGTCCTCTTGAGGAGCGGAGTGTTGGCTCGAAGTAGCTTCTCGGACCAACCGCTTCTCTTTGGAAGAGGATCCTTTCCGCAATAGCTTTGTGGCTCTCTGAATTTCCATGATCATCTAAATCAATCACATTATTCACCCGTGGCCTCGTTCGGGGTCGCTGTCCTTGGTAAGTTTTTATTCAACATTGGCAACAGCTTATCTGTTTTTTTTTTTTTTTTTTTTTTCCCAGTTAAAGAGCTGATTCGTCTTCTGAAAACGGATCATGGTCTTCTTAACGAAGTTCGCACTTGGTTGGAACTGAAATCAGCGTTTCGTATTGGAGGATGAATCAGTGCCTTTGCAGTGCCTTCATGACGGATCTAGCCTTTCTGGCTGCTACCGTTTACGAATGTATTCGCATTATAGGTGAAGCTGGATTCGCCAGGTTTCTGGGTTTCTCAGACCGCTCGAATTCCAGATATACCCCATTCTAGTTCACAAGTAACACTTGATCAAGCGACTCACTTGTAACGTCTCTGCATGCTCGGCTTCCCGGCCTTCTATTACCCCAGCCAGAGAATGCCAGCTCTGGAGGCAAGCGATCCAGTCGCCATGGACACTCAGCCTCCAAGCGTCGGCGGTAGCAGTGCGCTGGGTAGCTTGGAGGGGAGAGGCAAGTTGCAGCTGGTGCAGCCGTCGTCGGCAGATGAAGAGGCGAAGGTGGTGAGGGAGCTGATGAACACTGCGGATGCTGGCATGAAGGAAGGAGACACGTACAACCTTGTAGACGCTAGGTGCGTACGTGTGTGATTTGATGCAGAAGCGCGTGTGTAACTCGGACGAGAAGCGAGGGTGTGCGGGAGCTGATGAACACGGCAGATGCTGGGATGAAGGAAGGAGACACGTACAATCTCGTAGACGCTAGGTGCGTACGTGTGTGATTTGTTGCAGAAGCGCGTGCAACTTGAACCAGGAAGCGAGGGTAGTGAGGGAGCTGATGAAACACGGCAGATGCTAGGATGAAGGAAGGAGACACGTACAACCTCGTAGGAGCTAAATTGAATTTACTTTCGAGACGTTTCACAAGAGAGAGTGCTGGTTAATTGGAGTTATCTGAGACATCAAATGTATTGATGAATGTTCCTCCTCCGTTCTCCCCCTCTGTCGCTCCCTCTCCCTCTCTCGTATGTGTGGCGCCGTTTACCCACGTTGACTCGCGTTGACTTGGTTAACTCCCGTTGCCTCTGTTGGCCGTGTTGACTCCGTTGACCCGCGTTTTCTCTTTTGACTCACGTTGACTCGGTTGGCTTGCGTTGACCCGTGCAGATGGTGGCGTGCGTGGTCCAGATACTCGGGCTATTCGGAATCAGAGAGCGAGTCGCAGAAGCTCACTGTGAAGCCGCTACCCATAGACAACTCGAGCCTGGTGGATCGGGAGGCGCAGGACAGGTTCGGCAGTGCCGAGCCTCACCTGCGGCTGGAGCTGCAGGAGGATGGGGACTACGTGCTGGTGCCGCAGTCAGTGTGGCGCGTGCTGCACTCGTGGTGAGTCTCGGGCTAGCAGTGCTGCACTGATGCATGCGTGCCATCCTGGTTCAGATGAGAGGGACGAAGGAGCTATCAGTAGAGTTATGCTAGCCTTTGTGCTTGTGCCTTCTCAGCTGTCTGTGTACGGGGTGTGCTATAGAGACACATCAAACATAGTATCATAAAAGAAGGCCACATCACCTTCTGAGGAACAGAGCAGCTCTAGGCAGGAGAGGCCCCGCCAGAAGATTCCATCCAGTTTTCCTCCCCCTTACTCCACACTCCCTCCATTTTCCATCTCCTTTATCCCATTTGCAAATGCTAAGGTATGGAGGGGGCCCAGTGGTATCCCGCCACGTGGCGCGCATGGGAGGCCGGGAAGAGCTATCAGTGGAGGTGTACCCGCTCTGCCTCGAGCTCTCCTGCATTTCCGTCGCCACCTCATTGCCCCTCACTTCCTTCCCTTTCTCAAACACTCTAGGTACGGGGGCGGTCCAGTGGTATCTCGCCACGTGGTGCGCATGGGGGGGAGGGAGGAGCTATCCGTGGAAGTCTACCCGCTCTCCCTCGAGCTCTCCTGCGTCTCTGCCGCCACCTCGCTGCCCCCTCGCGTGGAGTCAGTGGTCATCAGCAAGCGGGCGACTGTGGGGCAGCTTAGGTACCGCGCCTGCGAGCTGTTCGGGCTGCAGCCAGAGAATGTAGGTCTGGTGCTTGGGAGTGATGAGTGAATGTAGGTCTGGTGGCCTGGGAGTGATGAGAGAATGTAGGTCTCTTCCACATGTGTGTGGAATTTGGTGCGTTGTCGGTGGATATCAGCAAGCTGGAGACTGTGGGGCAGCTCAGGACCCTATGTTTGGGTTGTTTGGGTTGCAACCAGAGAATGTGCGTTTTGGGGTTTGTCTGAAGACAGAATTAGGCACCCTATGAGCCTACATATTGGCTGCCTGGGTTTGAGCCCATGTCATGCTCATTTCTATGAACGAAGTGCCTCTCGCCCCCTCCCAACCTGCTGTGTTTTTGTGTGTGCCGTTTTCTTTGCATGCGTGTCGTGTGTATGTGCTTGCGCGAATGCGGCATGTTGCTTGTGTGCACGTGTGCATGTCATGTGGCATGTTCGTGTGCACGTGTGCATGTGTGTGTGCATGGGAGCAGGTGCGGGTGTGGGACAACTACGGCGGCAAGCGTCACAAGGTGTTGAGCGATGAGGGCCAGGCTCTGGAAGACGCAGAGCTGCAGATGGGCAACCAGGTGGGCACCTGATATTAAATGATTACAAAAAAAAAAAAAAAAAAAAAAAAAAACACCAATCTGACCTTCTTTCTTGGTGTAGCCTGCTCATAATAAAAATATAATTTATTTTCCTTCATATGCGTCTGCCCTCCACTATGTGTCAGATACTGGTAGAGGTGGGGGATAACGGCCAATGGCCCGCCCAGGCCGTGCATCTAGAGTCCTCCTCCTCGCCCTCCTCTCCCTCCACTCCCTCCCGCACGTCCAAACCTGCCGCCACCTCCCCCTTCCACACTGTCACCTCCCCCCGTACCTCCCTCGCTTCGGCTGCCGAACCTACCGCCGCCGAGCCTAACATCTCCATAGCAGGGGGTCCTCTGTCGCACTATAGCAGCGTGGGAGCTGCTCCCCCCCCTGGCGCGCTCTTCATCACCTCATGGCCTCCCAACCCTGCTGGGGAAGGAATGGAGGGAGCAGGAGCAGAAGCAGAGGCAGGGGTTGAAGGATCAACCTGGTCTCCTGTGAGGGAGATGACTGATGCAGAGGGGGCAAGGGGAGAAGAAGAGGGCGAGGGGAGCGGGACTGCTGCTAGTGGAGTTGATACCAGCGCTGCTGCTGCGAGGGGTACTGCTGGTGACATGAGAGGGAAGCTGAAAGCGGCTTTCCCAGCAGATGTGGGACCGGCTAAGAAGCCCACATCTGGGCTTACACTATCCATTGCGCCCCCTCCTGCCTCCTCCTCCTCCATGGCTATTGTCCCCGTGCCTAGCGCCGAGGAGAAGAAAGGCTCAGGATCAGGTTCGGGATTCCCGTTCAGATTCGGGTTCGGGTTTGGTAGCAGTTCGAGTGCCAAGGCGGCAAGTGCAGCAGCAGCTGGTGCAGGAGCTGGAGCAGGGGCGCGAACAGGGGGGTCGCAGGGGATCCAGGGCGGTCCAGTGGGGTTGACAGGGTTGGTGAACCTTGGGAACACGTGCTTCATGAACAGTGCGCTGCAGTGCTTGGTTCACACTGTACCATTAGTGGAGTATTTTATGGCGGATTACATGAGGGAGATCAACAGAAGCAACCCGTTGGGAATGGAGGTGAGTGTGATTCAATAGCTGATTCGATTCACGACCCTGGTGCACACTGTACCGTTAGTGGAGTACTTAATGGCGGATTATATGAAGGAGACCAACAGAAGCAACCCCTTGGGAATGGAGGTGAGTGGCGGTGTTGTAGTTATATTCAAAAGTTTGGTGCACACTGTACCGTTAGTGGAGTATTTTATGGCTTAGTGTTTGTTCATCGTTTATAATTGTTTTGTTTATTTGTTCCCTTGTCGTCATTTTTCCTACGTCTTTGTTGCTGGTCAATTACACCTCAGTATAGTCCATGCTTGTTCCTTTCTCTCACAGTCCCCGTCTTAAGCCCCACCACCCACTCCCACCCCCTTCCTATCATCTCCAATTCGACCCCCTTGCCCTCCTCTCGCCCACGCTTTTCCTCCCACATCGTTTCCACTCACTCCCAATCCCTCACTACTCACGGCCTCTTCTTATTTTCCTCTCACTCATACCCCCCACACCAGGGTGAGATGGCAACAGCATTTGGCGAGCTGCTGCGCAAGCTGTGGGCGCCGGGAAGGGACCCCGTGGCTCCCAGGGCGTTCAAGGCGCGCCTCTCGCGCTTTGCCCCTCAGTTCAGCGGCTACAATCAGCATGACTCTCAGGTTGGTTCATCAGTGACTGGCATGATTGACAGGTTATGTGCTGAACTGAACCCCGTGGTGTGCAAGCCTGATGGCAGGTAATGTGCTGGTAGGTGGGGGGGGATGCAAGTGCGCTGATTGTTTGCCCCTTCCTCACACTGCCACCCTTCCCCCGTCCTCCCCTTCCCCCCTCCTCCCCTTCCCCCCTCCTCCCCCTCAACGCACTCACAGGAGCTGCTGGCATTCCTATTGGACGGCTTGGAGGATCTGAACAGGGTGATGGGCAAGCGGTACATCGAAGCCAAGGACCCTGATGCTGCACCTCTGCTCTCCTCACACTGCCACTCCTCCCCACCCCCACTGCAAGCATGCAAGCGGTCAAACCTCTTCTTCAAACACCTGAACAGGGTGCTGGGCAAGCGGTACATCGAAGCCAAGGACGCTCATGGTCCAATCCTGCTCACGCTGCCGCTCCCTCTCTGCTCCTGCCCACACTCTGCAGGAACTCCTGGCTTTTCTATTGGATGGTTTATACGAGGATTTGAACTGGGTGATGCGCAAGCCGTACATCGAAACCAAGGACGCTCATGGTGGACCCCACCTTCCTCACACTGTCACTCCTCCACACCCCCTCTGCTCCCACCACCCCTCACAGGAGCTGCTGGCTTTCCTCTTAGATGGCCTGCATGAGGACCACCCTTACTCCCCTCGTTCTCCTCTCCCTCACCCACCCCTCCTCTCACACTCACAGGAGCTCCTGGCATTCCTATTGGACGGGCTACACGAGGACCTGAACAGGGTGATGCGCAAGCCGTACATTGAAGCCAAGGACGCCGATGGGCGGCCGGACGAGGAGGTGGCGCGGGAGAACTGGGAGAACCACAAAGCGAGAAACGACTCCATCATCGTTGACAAGTTCCAGGTGTGTAACCATGTGGTAACCTGGCTGTAAACCGTGTGGTAACCTGGCTGTAACCGTGTAGTAACCAGGCGGGTTGGTTGGTCTGAGTCCGGACGAGGAGGTGGCGCGGGAGAACTGGGAGAACCACAAAGCGCGAAACGACTCCATCATCGTTGACAAATTCCAGGTGGGTCACCGTGTGGTAACCAGGTGATGATTATGTGGTAACCAGGTGGTGATTATGTGGTAACCGGGTGATGATTATGTGGTAACCAGGTGATGATTATGTGGTAACCAGGTGATGTTTATGTGGTAACCAGGTGATCGGCCTCCCTGTTCTAATCGGGAGTACCACAAGGCGAGGAACGACTCCATCATCGTTGACAGGTTCCAGGTGAATGTGCTGGTAACCATGTGGTAACCCGTTATTAAATTGTTACTAGGTGATATGTAACATGAAACTGGTGCATTCCGGTCATAAAACTCCAAACTCCAACGTCGTTTTCCCATCGTTCTTCCACCCCACACCCCCCTCCCCCCAGGGTCAATACAAGTCAACGCTAGTGTGTCCACACTGCAAGAAGGTCTCGGTCACATTCGATCCCTTCATGTACCTCTCGCTGCCGCTGCCCTCCAAGGCCACGCGCTCGCTGCACCTCTCGCTGCTCTCGTCCTTTGGCGACCAGCCCCCCCGGGCGCTCACTGTCACGGTGCCGCGCACAGGGAGGATTTTGGACCTGCAGAGAGCACTGGCTGAGGCGTGCCAACTGCCTCCAGGGGAGAGACTCCACGTTGCTGAGGTGAGCTTTTTCCCCTGCTCTCGCCTCTAGGGACCACCTTCCGTGCACTCACTGTCACGGTGCCGCGTACAGGCAGGATTCTGGACCTGCAGAGGGCGTTAGCTGAGGCGTGCCAACTGCCTGCTGGAGAGGTTGCTGGCCTACTGCGTGTGGCCTAGGCCAGCAACCTCTCTAGGAAAGAAAAGGGGCGTGCTAGCTGCCTGCTGGAGAGAGACTGTACGTGGCTGAGGTGAGGTCTTGCCGAGGTGTGCTGCTGTTGAGGTGAGCTGTTGCTCTCTGTTGGAGGGGGTAGTGAGGGGAAGGGGATGTTGTCCATTGAAGACTTAGACAGGTTGCTGGCTGGCCTACCAAGTGTACTTTACTTCCCTCTCTAGACTTCTTCCACACTACCCCTCCTTCCCTCTCTCTCCCCCATCACATCACATCCCCCCCCCCCTCGCTCCCCACTCTCCCTTTCCATTTGCACTGCACACACACACCAGGTCTACAACAACAACCGCATCTTCCGCTCGTTCCCCCCGCTGGAGAAAATCTCGCCCATTAAGGACCGACACAGGCTCGTGGCTTACTGAAGGAGATCTCCTCTCACCTCCCATATCCTTCCCCCCCGCACCCGTTTCTCCCTTGCCCGCCCTCCGCTTCCCTCTCAGATCTACAATAATCGCATCTTCCGCGCGTTCCCACCGCTGGAGCAGATCTCGTCCATTGAGGACCGAGACAGGCTCGTGGCTTACCGCGTGCCGCGGGGGTGTGAATCCCCCGTTATAGTCACACAGCGAATTAAGGAAGTGTGAGTGTGCTTTGGGAGGGGAGGAGGGAGGTGGGTAAGGAGGAAGGGGGGAGGGGGGTAGGGGGGTGGGGGGTAGAGGTAGGAATTCGGGTCCAATAAAGGGTGAGTGTCAGCGAGAAGGAATATGTCTTAGTGATTTCCTCCCCCTCTCCGTCGCTCCCTCCTTCCCAGTCTCTGGCCCAATCTCGATGCTTTCTTCTCTTGACAGTTCCACAGTTACAAAACCATTTCCTTCGGCCGCTTCTTGGCGCCCCTGTCCTCCTCCCCTCTGCTCATCCCGTCCCCTCCTCTCCTCTCCTCCTCCTCTCTCCTCCTCCCCTCTCTCCTCCTCCCCTCTCCACTTCCCCTCTCGTCCTCCCCTCTCCCCACCTGTCAACTACCCCCATTCCCCCTTGCAGCTCCACACTCACAAACATTATCTTCTGGCGGCTTGCCGCCCTGCTACTCCTCCCCATCATCCTCCCCACTCTCCTCCCTTCTCTCCTCCCCATTATCCTCCCCACTCCTCCTTTCCCACATCCCCTCTTTTCTCTCCTCTCTTCCCTGCCCTCTTTTCTCCTTTCTCTTTCCTGTGGCTCTCTTCTCTTTTCCTTTTTCCAACGGATCCCCTCTCCTATCCGCAGCTCCACAGTAACCAACGATTTCTTCTGGCGCCTGCACGGCACGCCTCTCCTCCTCCCGGTCTCCCGCTTTGACATTCGTTCCGGCGCCGACCTTTACCGCCATGTGCGCACTGCCCTGAAGCCCTTCCTGCGACCAGGGGTATCCGAGACCAAGACCTCCCTCTCTCTCTCCCCTGCTGGGGACAGTGCTGCATCTCCAGCCGATGCCGCTTCTCCTGCTGCTGCAGCTGCTGCTGATGGTTGTGTTGTTGCTGGTGGCACAGCTGAAAGCGATGGTGCTGGTGCCAGTGGTGCTGGTGCGAGCGTTTGTGGTGCAGCTGGTGATGGTGGTGCTGGTAGTGTTGGTGCAGACGGCACAGGGGACAGGGGTGTGCAGGGGAAGAATGATCCTATGGACGAATCATTAGGGAGGGATGCCAATACTGGTGATGCATCAGCTGGCGGTGAGGAGGGTGAGGGGGAGAATGGGGCGAATGCGAAGGGATCTGCAGGGGCTGAGGATGCTGCGGGGCAGGGGAGAAGAGAGGGACAGGCGGCAGCAGCAGACGAGCCACCGTTTTTGCTGTCTGTCACGCGAGCGCATGTTGAGACTGCTGCTGATGCTATTCGGATTCCTGATGGTACTGATTTGCCCAAGGGATTCACTCCAGATATGCTTTCCAAGGATGGACTCGCGCTGCTTCTGGATTGGTCGGTCGATGGGCTCATGGAGTTTTACGATGTCGGGCAGCTTGAGGAGCTGCCCGAAGTGAGCTCGGGCAGTGTGGGGCTGCCCATGAAGAACAAGCGGCAGGAGGGAGTGACGCTTTTCTCGTGCCTGGATGCGTTCATCAAAGAGGAACCATTGGGCCCTGATGATATGTGGTGAGTAGTTCTTTTCATCACTTGGCATTCAGCGGTGTTTTGTTTGTTGTTTGTTTGTTTGTTTTTTTTCCCCTTGTTCGTTGGGATTGATTACGCATTTTACTGCTTTTATGTCCGTGATGCCACACTCAGTCATGGTGTCTGATGACATGGTGTCTTGTAGCTTCACTGTTTGCTTGCCCCGTGGTTGCCTGATACATTCGACATCTTCTTTTTCCCGATTCCCCTCAACCCTTTTCTCTGCCCCCTTATCTCTGCCAACTTTCCTCGCCTCAATCAGGTACTGCCCGCAGTGCAAGGAGCACAGGCAGGCAACCAAGAAGCTTGACCTGTGGCGACTGCCGGAGATCCTCGTGGTGCATCTGAAGCGCTTCTCCTACAGCCGCTACTTCAAGAACAAGCTCGACACGCTCGTCACCTTCCCCATCCATGACTTCGACCTCTCGCCGTACCTGCCGCCCTGCAATGCTGAAGGAGGTGGCAATGTGTATGAGCTGTATGCGATCAGCAACCATTACGGTGGCATGGGTGGAGGGCATTATACTGCATATGTGCAGGTGAGTTGGGAGACTCAGCTGATGGGTTTCATTTCAATGCATTTAGTTGTGTCAGGCGACAATCCGCATCCTTCCTCATGCTCTGGGTTTCATCAGTTCCAGTGTGCTCGACCTTTCTCCTTGAATGCAGTTGGGCAACGAGCGCCAATGGCACACCTTCGATGACAGCTTTGTTTCTCCCGCAAGCGAGTCACAAATTGAGACACCTGCGGCTTACGTGCTCTTCTACCGAAGAGTTGGGAGCTCACACCATTATGCAACTTCCCAGAACGAAGCAACAGGCGATGAGCAAAAGAACTCCACAGCTGAGGTTACTGACATGGACCGTGACTAGGTTGTTTTGATATATGCTGGAATGACACTGCTTGCTAAACGATTCTAAAGTCTAATTAGTGAGTTTCAAATACTTGAAGTTCAAATACTTGAAGTCTAATTAGTGAGTTTTTAAAGCTCAATTAATAACACAACAATGAAGTGAAACATCGGGTACAATCTGTTCCATATAGTGACATTTGGTCCTTATTTAATGTTCTGTGAATATGAAAGATTTTCTGGTGGTTGTATTCCATAATTTCGACTGGTTCACATTAATAACACACATTCAGCACGTTTTGGTTGTACAGAGAGAGACTGTTTCGGCACGTTCACTAAACTAGGCTATGTAAAGAGGTGAACAAAAGAACCAATACGAGAGAGAATGAGTGGCCAGCTCTAACTACATGTGAGGTGCACTGGTCAGATGGTTTATCACTCGTCAGCGGGCTTCTCTTCCTTCTTCTCCTCAGCTGCAAATTTATAAGAATCAAATTATAATCTTGTTCTGGGTAGAGGAGATTGTGCTATAAAATCTACGCATTACTCACCAGACTCGTCCTTGGCGGCGGCTTCGTCCTGGAGATCAGATGTCCAGAGTGTCAAATTGTCACGAAGAAGCTGCATGATAAGGGTGCTATCCTTGTAGGACTCCTCGCTCAGAGTGTCAAGCTCGGCAATAGCCTCGTCGAAGGCTTGCTTGGCCAGTTGGCAAGCCCTGTAAATGGAAAAACAATGTTAGAAGCTAGCCTTCACAGGAGGAAATGTCTGCACAATGGAGAAGTACGTACTTCTCTGGTGAGTTCAAAATCTCGTAGTAGAACACAGAGAAGTTCAGGGCAAGACCAAGGCGGATGGGGTGGGTTGGTGCAAGATCGACGGTCGCGACCTCGGAAGCTGACTGGTACGCCTTCAACGACTGCTCAGCGGCCTCCTTCCTGTCAGCGCCAGTCTTGAACTCTGCGAGGTAGCGGTAGTAGTCACCCTTCCTGAAAACAGAAAAGACAAGCTTAGAACCAATAACTGGATCCAACCCTAGTTGCGCATGCAAAACAATGAACACACATTTTGTAGTAGAAAACCTTCGACTCCCCAGTGCCAGATGAGGGGATCAAATTGCTGTCAATGATGTTGAGGATGTCTTGGCATATATCGGAGAGCTCCGCCTCAATCTTCGACCTGTACTCCTTGATCCTCGCCACATTCTGCTCGTTGCCCTTGTTCTCCTCCTGAATGTAGGGGACAAAAAAGGAACGGTAAGGATAACGAATACAGAATCCTAGTGACTTCAAAATGTAAGTCACGAGAGAAGGATTTGCTATTTGATTAACATATCGGACCTTCTGCTCGATAGAAGACATGATTCTCCATGAAGCCCTGCGAGCACCAATGACGTTCTTGTAGCCAACGGAGAGGAGGTTGCGCTCCTCAACGGACAGCTCGACGTCGAGCTTGGCAACATCCTTCATGGATGAAACCATCTCTGAAGGTGACAACGGCAGGCGTCAGTAAAATAGAAAAAAGAAAACTACAGATCTGTGGTCGCACAAAACGTGGAAAAAAAACAAAACCATTAATTCGAACCAAGTGTGCTCAGCTCATGCTTTAACTCACCATCGTAGCGCTCGGCTTGCTCCGCGAGCTTAGCCAGGTAGACGTGGTTCTCGCGTTCCTTCTCCATTTTAATGAAGTAATAACTGTGAGGTAGATAGAGAGACACTATTAAGGAAGAATTGTCAAACCTAAGACTTAGTGGGAGACAACAGCAGCTAATGCAGAGAGCCTCTGAACCTGGCCTGACTTGTTACACACCTCGGATGTTGGAGGAGGACTGGGCAGCGGAGAAACAGGTGAGCGACAAAATGAAAGCTGAGTCAGGTCCTGAAATCTTAAGGATGGATACTTCAAGAACCTTGATCTCTCAATCACGACAATCGGCCGACGCCACGTGGATCTAGGTTAGGGAGCAGCGAGCCTCCTTCGGAGCTTAGGTCATCTGCCAGCGGAGCTTAGGCCCCAGATTACCGCTCTACTGAACGGTTCGGATGGCTTGGAACCCTTGGGTCCATGACAGAGCTGCTATGTCGGCGGGTGGCCTTGGGAACCGAACCTCCGCTATCATTGCGAAGGAATTTGTACACCGCGTACTTCTACCGTATATGATAAAGCGGTGCAGGTTATTCTTTGAATAATTCGAGTTATTTCTGCCTACAGCAAATTTGAAGACCTTTGACATAAAAGCAACTTACAAACGGCTCACTGAACATGGTGTATGTTACTTTCATCCTTGTGATTTCTCTTTCAGCCATGCCAGCACATCCTTCCATACCTCCTCTCTCTCTGGCTCTGGTTCACCTTGCAGCAGCTGGTGCCAGGCTGATGGATATATATGGAGCGTCTTATCTTTACTCGGAGCCTTCTCATGCAAGTCTCTGGACTGGTCTGGATCTGTTACACCATCTGATCCACCATGCATGATGAGGAATGGCAAATGCAGGTTTGGAATGGAGGCTGTAACAGCATCGGCGAAACGCAGGAGCTCAAAGGCAACGCCGAGGCGTGGGTTACCACTGTAGCGGCGTGGGTTCTTGAGAGCAACTTCAAGTTTTGCAGGATCTCGGCACGAGAGGCTGGATAGTCCATGGGAGAGGAGGGATGGAGAAAGAAAAGTCGGAGCGAAGTTGAAGATGTGAAATATGTTCAAGGGAGAAGCAGTGCAAGAGAGTGATGCCCAGAATTCTGTTAAGACCGAAAAACATGAAGATAATTGCCAGAACAACACAGCACATGGTCTCACCGAATCAGGTCTCCCTTGGTGGCCACAAAGGCACTGTCAGGAATGATCGTTGCAAGGACCCGAAGAACCTGCAGTGCAGCCCAGCTAGGCTGCAGCTCCTCCTTGATGCGCAGCATGGGAGACACCATGACCAGACCAGTCCAGCTGTCAGGATCACGCCTGAGAACAGAAAAAGAAACACACCTCATAAGAAGGCGTACAAAACAAACAGGACATTATACCGAAAAGAATGGAAGGAACTGAGCAGCTGTTGACCGGTCTGAAGCCTGACACTGGCAGCATGAAAGGGAGAAAGGAACGAATGGGATGGTCGGACCGACAGAAAAATCAAGCGAAGGTGCTGCTGGCTCCTTACAGTGCAACGGTCATGGCGATGGCGCCTCCCAGCGACTCCCCGTACACGAAGGACGGCAGCCCTGCGAAGTCAGGCTTCGCCTTCACAGATGAGAAGTAGGCGGAGCAGTCGTCCACCAGTTGCTCCGCGGACCTGAACGAGCATCTCAGACCGTCCGATTTGCCGTGGCCCTCAAAGTCGATGCCAAACACTGCGAAACCCTCCGAGGCGAATCGAACGGCGGTGAGCTGTGAGAATTGGAGGAGAGGAAAAATGAGGAAACGTGAAGGTAACTGGTCGTGACGGGACGGTCGGACTCAGGTAATAAATTGTGAATATTAACTGGAGAGGGGATCTCTTGCCTGCATCAGCCAATTGCAGCAGTTGGCGTAGCCATGGCAGAAAAAGAGGAGGGCCGACGGCGTGCGATCAGCTGAACAACGAGACGGTTCGAAGGACTCAGATTATGGGACAGAGTTGGAAATGGCAGAAGGAAGAGTTCTGATCAGGTAACGAGAACAGGAACGGGATGAGGAATATGAAACGGTGGGTGGTAGCTCGCATACAGAGTTACTGATCTGAATTCAGTCGAGCCTAACGGTTGTGATCCTCACCAGGCAGCCATGACTGCGTGTAGAGGCGGATATTTCTCGCATTCGTGATGTATTCAGCGGAGTGGACCACTTTATTCTGCTCGTAATAGGCCGCTGCGCTCGTTCCGAAGAGGATCCTGTCGAGTTCCTCCTCAGTAGCTTCCAGTGGCTGCGCAGTAGCCATGATTGCGAACTGACGGGAGTTTTTGTGACTGGAGACTGGTGGTAGCATTATCAGGTTTTGTCAACCATTTTGAACTTCGCATGGGGATGGACGGTAGCTCAGATGTTAGCGCGCTCGCTTAGCATACTAGAGGTGGTATGGGGAGTTGTTTCTGACAAAAATTCTTACAGTGAATCCGAGGCACTCTAAAACCATGACATAAAAACTAAGTACATATGGCCCACTGAACTTGTTTATTAATGTATATTTCATCCTCCTGATTTCTCTTTCAGCCATTCCAGCACATCCTTCCACACCTCTTCTCTCTCTGGCTCTGGTTCACCTTGCAGCAGCTGGTGCCAAGCTGATGGGTATATATGGAGCGTCTTATCTTTACTCGGAGCCTTCTCATGCAAGTCTCTGGATTGGTCTCGATCTGTTACACCATCTGATCCCCCATGCATGACGAGGAATGGCAAATGCAGGTTTGGAATGGAGGCTGTAACAGCATCGGCGAATCGCAGGAGCTCAAAGGCAACACCAAAGCGTGGTTTACCACTGTAGCGGCGTGGGTTCTTGAGAGCAACTTCAAGTTTTGCAGGATCTCGGAATGAGAGACTGGATAGCCCATGGGACAGAAACAAGAGAGGTGGAAGGGGGGGGACAATGCAGAAGGTGCGAAGTATGGTCCAAGAAAATTATGGCCAGACAGCGTAATAAGCTAAGGCAGGAAAGGAATTTGCCAGAGAAACAGCACATAGTCTCACCGAATCAAGTCACCCTTCGTGGGCACAAGGGCACTGTCAGGAATGATCGTAGCAAGGACTCGAAGAGCCTGCAGTGCTGCCCAGCTGGGCTGCAGCTCTTCCTTTATACGCAGCATGGGAGACACCATGACCAGCCCAGTCCAGCTATCAGGATCACGCCTGAGAAAACAGAACCAACATTGAAAAACACATTGTGCGGAGGCTCACAACACAGTTAAGAAAAGATGCAACCTACTCATGGGCATGATGTTGACTGATATAGAAACTGTCATTTGAACAATAAACGGAACGACTCGGTGGTTCACATGACACATGACCAGGAGGAGATGTTGCTGGCTTCTTACAGTGCCACGGTCATGGCGATTGCGCCTCCCAGCGACTCCCCGTACACGAACGACGGAAGCCCTGAACATTCAGCCTTCGCCTTGACGGACGCGAAGAAGGCGCAGCAGTCGTCCACCAGATGCTCTACGGACCTGAACGAGCATCGCAGACCGTCCGATTTGCCATGACCCTCGTAGTCGACGCCAAACACTGCGAAGCCCTCCGAGGCGAATCGAGCGGCTGTGAGCTGCGAGAATCGCAGGAGAGGTGGAATGAGGCGGAAATGAGAATAGCTGGTCGTGACAGGTGAGCGTCGGATTCAGGATATGAAATGTGAAAAACAACCGGAGACGGGGTGCCTTGCCTGCATCATCCAACTGCAGCTGCTGGCGTAGCCGTGGCAGAAGAAGAGGAGGGCCAACGGCTTGCGATTGGCTGAACGACGAGAAGGTTCAGAGGACGCATATCATGAGAAAGAATTGGGAATGGCAGCAGGAAGTGTTTCGATCACGCACGGAGCAAACGGGAGCGGGACGACGATAATCCAACAGCTGAGAGGGAAGTGAGAAAGACTGGACGTGCTAGCTCGCATGCAGAGCTACTTGCTGATTCTCGAATTCAGTCGAGCCTAACGTTTGTAATCCTCACCAGGCAACCATGACTGCGTGTAGCAGCGGATGTTCCTCGAATTCGTGATATATTCAGAGGAATGATTCACTTTATTCCGCTCGTAATAAGCCGCTGCGCTCGTTCCGAAGAGAATCATGTCGGGTTCCTCCTCACTGGCTTCCAGCGTCTGCGCAGTTGCCATGACTGCGAACAACAGCCCAAGTAGTTATGACTGGAAACCTACTTAAAATAATTTATATATAAAAATACAGGGTACTTTTCCTACACGGGGATGTAGCTCAGATGGTAGAGCGCTCGCTTAGCATGCGAGAGGTATGGGGATCGATACCCCACTTCTCCACATTTTGTTGAGATGCCTCAGCTAGGAGATCGTCACACTGAAGATTTGAAGGTCGCGTATTCGAACAACGCTCACAGCACAGTTTTGTATCTTCCGACTCGGAGGATTCCGAATTCTCTCTCACCACCACTTGAGTTCTTGCGGCTGTCTTCCCACTCTGGCACTTCTGATGGACAATCTCTCGGTGTGGTAGCATCAACCCAATTCATCACCACATGCAGTGGCAATCATCACAACATCGTACCTAGGTTGTAAGTTGCCACTGGCAGTGGCAGTAATATATTATAGCAGCATCCTGCAGCCCTTATGTTTAGGCCTCGTGTGAAGTAGTGTTAAGGCCTGACAAGGTCACGAATGAAGGTCTCAACGTCATTCAGATTATCACTAGCCACGGAACACTCTGCAAATGTCACTGGGTTGACGCAGTCAGCGAACCGGAAAACGCCTCCACTGCTTTTCAGAACAAGCCATTGTGACCCTCCGTCCTTGCTGGAGCCAACAGATGCCATGGAATGGCGTGACGAGCGCAGCTTCTCACTGCCATAAGATAAAGAAAGAAAAGTGTGTGTCACATAATGCGTGAGCGCAGTGGTGCATGGTAAAACAGGAAAACGGGAGGAGGAATGCATGTCATGTCACTAGTAAGGTAGCAGTAATGCTGGCAGTACTGTTTTATCCAGGAATTAATAAACAAAAGTGGCGCATGTGCACGTGACTCACATTTCCTTCTCAAGTTGCTTCCGGATGAACTCCACCGAGTGTGCCGTCACTTTCTCCATCTTGTTGCACGCCAGCAGCAGCGGTACCCGCCTCCGTTGCACCGCAGCAGATGAGAGCAGCTCATACAGGTACCTGGCGCAGAAGCATGTGCAGAGAGCCATGAAATGATACATAAGTGTACAACTTACTCAGTGAAGATGCACGCGAAAACAAAAAACACATCCACGAGACGATCAGTGTATGGCACATAGGCTGACAGAGCGCCTACTCTGCGTTAGGTCGGATGTTGAGAGTGAAATCAAGGGCATCCACCAGGAACACGATCCCACAGGCGCGGGAGAGGAACGGAGCCCCCAGGGAGCGCAGGCGGGGATGGCCAGGCAGGTCCACCAGATGCACTGGACGGGCCCTGGGGTTCTGGGAACACACAAGGACGCATTGGTGTGGGAAGGAGGACGAGGGAGGTGATAGAGAATCAGAGAAACGAAGGAATGAGGAATCCAAGACGACATAAGAAGGGAAGGAGCATTATGAAGCCTAATCAAAATCAAGAACGGATAAGAAGAGAATGAGCATCATGGAGCGCGGCCAGAATGCTGGAAAAAGGGACCACGGGTTGGTGGAAGACAAATAGAAGACGAGTGGCAGTAGCATAAGCTGCAAAACATCTTTCATATGCTCTCTGTGTGTCCCTGACCATGCATTTCCAGCTTTCCACCTTTTCATTACCTTGCTCTGCCCCGTGTGCAGGGGAAACTTGTATTCGTTGCCTGTTTTTGGGGCGACTAAGAAATTACCTTGCTCAGCTCGGCGTGCAGGGGGAACTTGTCATCGTTGACTGCCATGGACGTCACTGTGCCGCCGTGGGTTGACCCATCCCGCAGCTGCCACGTGTGAGTCAAGGAGAGGGGGGTAGTGGAGGGAGACAATGATGGACAGCAGGCTTTTGGAAGGACAGGTAAGAATGGCAGACGTTGACGCGTGAGCCAATGAACACTTTTGAAAGATATAGTGCTTTTCAAATATGACCCGGAAGTGAAAGAACAATGGCTCCTAGTGCCTGTTGACAGTGTTTGGTATTCAACAACAGGCGCTATAAGGGTTGCGAATGATGATCGAATTCGCACCTTGTACCAGAGGGACGTCTTGCCGGCTCCGCACAGGCCCAGAAGCACGATGGTGTTGAATCGAGGGCCCGCGAAGGCCAAACGCACAGCTGGAGCGGAAAGGATGCACGTGAACGGACGAATTCGAGCGATCAGGACATGAAGAACGAGACGGACATGCGAAAGACGAGCGTATTAGAATCTTGGTGCTCCTTACGGAAAAATCTTTAAGCAATTTGATAGCTGTTCACGTACCTAGGAGGAATATAAGAGAGGCCAGTAGGACGCCGATCGTGGACAGCAACAGAGCCGTCTCAACGCGAACATTAAGAGCTCGGCTTATATCGAGGAATACAGGGGATGCTTGCACGACGGGCGGAAGCACATTCCAGAGAGAAGTCTCAGCCTTTGATAAGTACTCGACAGCTAGAGACTTAAGTTCCTCTACTGACGGTAGCTGCTCCATCGGTGCCGCAAACGCGAATCTCGCTACACACGACTTTGGATTAAACAAACGCGAGGAACTCCGAAGTAAGATCAACTAGCCGACTCGTCGGGAGGACGCTTCGAGCAAGCTGTGCGAGGACTCTAGGATAATACAGCTTCACATTTGTACTTAGTGGATAAGAAGCTTGTCAGATCCAGCTCTGGGTGGTGAGATGTGATGAGAAGGGTACGGGCGGGAAGGGAGCCTGACAGTGTACGCGTTATCGAACACTTAAGTATGATCGATTCTGAAGTCAATATGCTAACTTGTCTGAAAGATAAATTCCTTATTTTGAGTTTATATCAGGTTCGTCAGGGACTGGAGGGGTCGAAAGATGGCGGGAGGGAATCACGGCGGCGCGGGCAGCGTGGAGCCAAAAGGCTGCGTAAAGTGCGGGCAAGCTTCATAACTTTTTCTGGTGTGGAACGAATCGTGGCACGAAGTCAATTTCCGGAGGCTGCCCGGCCCGAAACAAAATGTCGAATCTCGAGGATTGGGCAGGGCAACACCAAGGAAACGCAACCAGCACCCCTACCCCAACTCCCCACTCGCAGTCAAATTCCAACGGTCGAATTTCAAGACCGCACAACTCAACAGCCTCTCAGATCGCGTTCCGAGGTTGGGAGGTGGGTGGGACGCCATGCAAACACGCTCACCATACTTCCAGTCCCTGCTTCTTTATTCCTGGTTGTTGCTCTCCTGCCTTGAGTTTCCTTCGCGTCCTCGTCCCTCTCGTCTCCTCGTTGTTCAGACTAGCTGGTTGTCCTGTCCCGTCAAAAGCTAGATTACCATCACCAAAGCTGTAGCTGTTAGTCGTTCCACAATCGTGACTCCTTCGCTCCTCACGATTCAATTACGTCGGCGGTATTTAGATTAGCCCGAGTTGGCCTAGCAGAGCTTATGGAATAAGCAAATCTCACGCTCGTGCGAGTATAATCCAGTCACTCGTTAGCTGCCAGGTCCCTAGCCATGGCAATCACGCAGTTAATCGAGCCGCAGCCGCTGCAGACTAGTAGGGTTGCGCTAAACGACGTTAAGAAGAGCCTCCTAGTGGCGCTCGGGAAGCTCAACGATCGCGACACGCAGCAGAACGCGGTCGGGGATCTGCAGAATATCGTGGAGTGCCTGCCGCCTGAAGGCATTCCCGTCTTCCTCTCCTGCCTCTACGAGACTGACAGCACCCATCGCACGTTCGTCCGGAAAGAATGTCTCAGGTAATGCCTCCTTAATTCACAAAATCGCTGGCAAGGAGATGCCACAAGTGACGCCTCCACCAGACGACGAAAAATCATCGCTGTCGTTTTCATTGGTTTGCCGTCGTCCCATACGATCAATGGCACGGTATTTATTTCTTCTTCTTTTTTGTTCATTGCTGTTACTCCGTTCCACGTCACCTGAACATCGCAGGCAATTCGCCATCCTTGCGATGACCTTCGGCCCGCTCCTGTCGCCGCACCTTCCCAAGATCGTCGCAGCCGTCGTCCGTCGCCTGCGCGACCCCGAGTCCACCTTAATTGAATCCTGCGCAGAAGCCATGGCGACACTAGTTCAGCACGTTCCCCCACCTCCCCACGATACCGTCCCCGGAGCTATTCCCGTCGGCGGCTTCGGAGCCATGGGCGTTTACGTTCGGCCGCTCCTCGACACGCTCGGCGAGCAGAGCCGAAACTCGCAGGCAGGTGCGGCGATCTGTCTCGACCGCGTCTTCCGGGCTGCCCGGGAGAAAATGGAGCCGAGCGCGGCGCGCGTGCTGATGCGAGCGAACGGCATGCTCTCGCGGCAAGGGTTTCAGGCGAAGGCGCAGCTTCTGGGCGCCGTTGCGAGCCTTGCCGAGGTACGTCGTCTTTCCCGCCTTGCTCAAGCCTCTAGTACTTCGACGTTCTTTCTTTCCGCATAAGTTCACGGGCTCGCATGCCCGCATAGGAATAGACTATGCCTCGCTCTCAGCAGAGTGCTTTTGGGTTTTATTCACCCCCCCTTCCTTTCCGCGCCGTCGCTCCGCGCAGGTGTGCGGGGAATCCATGGGCGCGCAAGTGCCCGTGCTGGTATCCGCCGCGACCGCCGCCGTGGCGTCCGCGGACTGGGCCACGCGCAAGGCGGCGGTGGACCTGCTGGGGCAGCTCGCCATCAACCTGCCGGCGGAGTTTCTGGGGGAGAGCCGCGCGGCCGTCATGAAGGCGCTGGACCAGTGCAAAGGCGATAAGGTAGGGCGGCGGGATACAGGGGGAAGCGAGGTAAAAAGGGGCGAGATCAAGGGAGTAAGGTAGGCAGCTAGCCATCAACCTTGCCGGCCGCGTTTCTTTGGGAGAGCCGCTCGGCGGTCATGAAGACGCTGGATCAGTGCAAAGGGGATAAGGTCGGGCGGCGGTGCCCTGGACAGTGGGTAAAGGGGCCGGACTTAAGGGGTTAAGTAGGGCGGTGGCACACGGCGACAAGGTAAGGGGGACAAGGCAAAGGGAAAGGTAGGGTGGAGGTAAGAGGGCGGTGGATCTTCTGTGGCAGGTCGCCATCATCCTGCCTGCAGCCGCGCCAGGGTGATAACGCACGCTGGGGAAGCAGGGGAGACAAGTGTGGAAGGCGTTGGGAGTGTGCAACACTGCAATGGACGCTTGCTGCATCACGTGCACACCTCTCTACTCCCTTCAACCCCTTACATTGAATGTGTTCTGCAGGTGAAGAATGTGCGCGATTCCCTGGCGCAGGCGAAGCAGGCGTGGGCGTGTGTGGAGTGGGAGGACCCGCCCGCAGCTGGGCAGCACCAAGTGCTGTCCGTGCCGTCCCTCTCGTCGGAATCGGCGGCGACTGCAGTGCAAACTCCGTCGCTGTCCTCTGCTGCTGTTGTTGGCAGCGCATCAGGTACGGAGAGACGCGTATGGGGGTGTGCGAGAGGCATGTGTGGGAGTTTGAGACGCATATGAGGTGGTGTGAGACGTGCCTTTCAACTCATGATGATGCATTTGTCCTCCCCAATGCTACATGGTTTCAGGCTCCATTTCAACCGTACAGTATGGTAAAGTGTAGGACGAGAATGATCCTGTTGTGTGCTCACCTCTGCTCACCTTTGTGACGGCACATTTATTATCGCTTTCACGTTCCTGTCCGTCGCCCTCCTGCACCTTCCAGGAAGGCGCGCCAGTTTCTCACCTGGTGCAGCAGAAAACGACAAAAGCATTGGCAGCCGCTCATTCAAGCTTCAAGGCCGCTCGTCCTCGCTTGTAACAGGCCCGTTTGAAGACGCTCGAGACGCAGCAGAGACAGAAGAAGCAGCAGCTGCAGCATCAGCAGCAACAGCAGCATCAGTATCAGCAGCTACAGCAGCAGCAGCAGCAGCAGCATCTGCTGCCAGTGTGACCCCTGCTGTGAAGCGGGGAGGAGTGAGCGGCATGCTGGCACGCACCTTCAGTGGGCTGGGCCGAGCTCGAGCTAAGGAAGCAACAGCAAGTGCTGCTGCTGTAGGAGTGGCAGGAGCAGGAGGAGGAGCAGGAGGGGAGGGAGGAGAAGAGGGCGGAAGGAAAATCGGGCTGAGCAAAGGGGGGATTGGGTCCCACGCATGGGCTCCGGAATTATCTCAGTCGAAACCCGGAGAAGCTTCCAAAGGAGAAGCTACTAACGCGGATAATGGAGCTGGAGAGAAGGCTGCTCGGCCTAAGTTTGAGCGGCAGCCGCTTCGAGGAAACCCTCTGTTTTTCAATAAGGCGGGCGCAGGGGGGAAGGCTGGGGGAGGTGACGACTGGTCCGTGGAAGTGATGGTTCCTAAATCGAAGGCCGGGGCAGTGGGGGAGAAGGGTGACAGTAACGGGGGGTCGGGTGAGGGCAGTGGAGGGAAGAAGGGTGATGGGAGGGAAGAGGGCAGGCAGGGTGCAGCGGCGGGGGCGGGGGCAAAAGACAGTCGTGCGCAAGCGGATGGTGTGAAGGCGCGGAGGAATTCGACTTCGGGGATTGCTGCTATCAAGGCTGCGGCCGCTGCTGGTGGGAGAGGCAAGGAGGGCGCAGGGGGGGGGAAGGGAGCAGGAGCAGGTAGCGATTGGAATGTGGAGATTCTAGTGCCTAAGACACGTGGCGGATGGGGCAAGGGCGGTGGCGAGTCAGAGGAGAAGCGGGAGGTGAATGGAGAAGGAGTGAAGGAGATGAACGGAAGGGGCGGTTCGGACAAGGCTGACTTGCAGCAGGAGGAGGTGGCGCCGAGTGCGATCCAACAGCAGCAGCAGCAGCAGCAGCAGCAACAGCAGCAGCAGCAGGAGCAGCTCCACCATCAGCAGCAGCAATACCAGCAGCAGCAGCAGCAGCAGCAGCAGCACCAGCAGCAGCAACATCAGCAGTATCAGCAGCAGCAGCAGCAGCAGCAGCAGCAGCAGCAGCAGCAGCAGCAGCAGCAGCAGTATCGTAATCAGCAGGTGCAGGAGCGAGTGGAGGAGAGGAACGAGGACGAGAAGCAGGAATTTCTGCACCACATGCTTCGAGAGGTAGAGGGAGAGAAGGACACCGGAGGGAATACTGAACCCAGTGGTGCTTATAACAGGGGGCAGGAGGAGGGAGTGGGGGGTGTTATCAATGCTGCGGGAGGGCCTGCAGCGAGGTATGCTACTGGGTTGGAGAGTGAGGAGGAAAGGGAGGAGGAAGAGCGGGAGGTGAAGAGAGAGTGTGAGGAGGAAAAGTCACCAAAAGTGGAGAAGCGCGGCGAGGAGTCTCAAGGCGCAGAGAATGACGCTTATGGTTCTAGCGAGTCTGACAATGACGAGGATGGGAATCAGCGGGAAGGTAGGGCAGGCGTATGGGAGGAGAGGAAGGGGCGGAAGGCATCTGGGGGTGGTGATGCCTTGGGAAGACAGAAGTGGAGCAAGGGCAGGAACAGATGGAAGGACGGTCAGGGGCAGGGGCAGGGGGTGGGGGAGACAGAGGAGGAGAAGAATAGGAAGGGGGAGGAGGAGGCGGGTAGAAGGGGCAGGGGCGTGGGGAATACGGGGAGGGGAGAAGGGGGAGGGGCGCTGCGCAAATCGTATGACTGGGGGGGCGCGGGGAAGGCTGGGAGGGGAGGCAAGGGTGGGGGAAGAAAGGAGGGAGTGAGAGAGGCGGAAGAGAGGGGGAAGAGAGTGGATGGGGTTGGGAGAAGGGAGAGGGGAACGTGGGGAGAAGGAGGCGGTGGTATGAGGAGGAGTAATTCTTGGAGCAGTAGTCTCTCTGTTGATACCACCGGTGGTGGGAAAGCCAGGGTCGTGCAGGGTAAAGGAGGGTGGTGGGATGGGGAGGAAGAGGAGGGTGAGAGGGTGGAGAGAGGGCGAATGAGGAGAAAGGAGGGTAGGGTGGATGGGAGGGGAAGGAGGAGGTATGGGTCACTGAGCAGTCATTTGTCTTCAAGCGAGGAAGAGGAGGAGGATTATGGGGAGTCTTTTCCTCGAGCTCGTATGAGGCGTGGGTGGGCTAATAACGAGGATGCTATGGATTCGAGTCCGAAAGGAGGCCGCAGAGACGGAAGGTCCGGTGTTGGGAAGGGTGTGAAGCAGCAGCAGAGGCAGGGCGACACGTGGCAGAAGCAGGAGGTGACACGTCAGGAGGAGAAGCTCGGGCGGAGGAGGCCGCAGCAGAGTCAGTACCAGGGGCAGCAGCACCAGTCGAGGCAGAGCGGGTTGAAGAAGGCGGATGGAGAGCAAATGCAGATTAGACGCTCCTATGACTTGAGTCAGGCGTACCAGAGCAAGCAACAGAAGCAGCAGCAGCAGCCACAGCCGTGGGAGCGGAAGGGGAGGGGTCGGAGGGCGGAATGGGGAGGGCAGGCGGCGCAGGTGGTACTGATGAGCGACTCTGGCAGTGGCGTGGGACCGTGGCCTCGAGGCAGGGAGAGGGACAGCGGGGTGAGGGGTGTGAGGAAGGGAGGCGGTAGGGAGTGGGAGAGGGGTGATGAGGAGGAAGATGAGGATGAGGATGAGGATGAGGGGGTGATGGAGGGCGAAGAGAATGGGCTCGGGGGAGGGCGGAGGGGAAGGGGAAGGAGCAATAGAGGCACTTCTGCTGCTGCTGCTGCTGCAGCTGTGGCAGAGGCAGTGGAGGCAGAGGTACAGAGACTGAGGCAACGAGTGGCTGATATGGAGCGGCAGCAGGACAGCTACCAGGGCATGGTGGAGGTGAGTGGTTCATTCAATGAGTCGTGCTGCATGAGGGTGGATGTTTAGACTCGAGAATCAGGGCAACGAGTGGTGAGGATGGAGTGTGACAGCAGGACAGCTACCAGGGCATGATGGAGGTGAGTGGTTCACTTCATGAGGCGTGCTGCGCTGCATGAATGTAGAAATTCTGAAATCAGGGCAAAGAGTGGCTGATATGGAGCAGCAGCAGGACAGCTACCAGGGCATGGTGGAGGTGAGTGGTTCACTCAATGGAGCATATCAAGGTTATATGTATATATTTGTATATGTATTCGACTGAAGGAATGTGTGGCTGCTGCTGTTGGAGCAAGCTACCAAGCTGTGTTGGAGGTGAGTGGCTGCTGCTGTTGGAGCAAGCTACCAAGCTGTGTTGGAGGTGAGTGGCTGCTGCTGTTCTGATTCTTCTGTGCCCTCCATTCTCCCTGCCCTCCGCTCGTTAGGGTTGCATGAGCGCTGCCAGGCGAACCATTCCCAGCCTCGAGCTGCAAATGCTCACTGCCGCTTTCGCTCCCCCCACTCCACTTATTCCCTTCCGCCCCTCCCTTTTCCCTGCACTCCCTGCCCTCCATTCCTCAGGGTTTCATGAGCGCTACCAGGCGAACCATGGATAGTCTCGAGCTGCGAATGCTGTCCCTTGAAGGCTCGCTCTCTACCCTCAAGTCCCTGCACCACCAGCAGAACCAGCACGAGCAGCAGCAGCAGCAGCAGCAGCTAGCGTTGGCTGAAGCAGAAGCGGTGCAGCTGCAGCAGCAGCAGATTCAGCAAGCTTACCACGAGCAGCAGCAGCAGTTGCAGCAGGTGAAGCTGTCATATTTGGAGCAGCAGCACCAGCAGCAGCAACAACTAGCACTGAGAACCACACGAGCCATGCACAGTGTTGCTGCTTCTCCAGTGGTAGCCTCTCTCCCTTGGACCTCCAATGCTGCTGCCTCCCCCTCACCCCACGCTGTCCCCACCTCTCCTCACCCCATCTCCACCTCCGCCCTCCCTACCATGCCCTCCCCTTACCTCCCTGCTCGCATTCGCACCACTGCTGGTGGTGACAGTAGCAGGGGGCTCACCCCTGGACGAAGGCTGTCGTTGCAGGGAGGAGGGATGGGTGGGATAGGGAGCAACGCAGGGGGGATAGGCTGTGGGTCTGGTGCTGGTGGCTTCGTGCAGACACAGCCATTCATGGGTGGGTTTGGTGGTATTGGAGCAGGGAATGAAGCAGCTTATACGGAGGATGATTATGCTGCGGCTGCTGCAGCTGTGGCCGAAGCAGCGGCGGCGGCAGCAGCAGTTGAGGCGGCACGTGTGGCTTCATTCCAAAGTCAGCAGCAGCAACAGCAGCAGCAGCAGCAGCTGGTAACTCTAAGGAGAACCTCTTCCTTGAGCCGCGGACAGAACGCCACTCCTCCCACTGGCCCTCCCCGCACGCCTCCCCACTCCTCTACCGTCTCGTCCCCTCGCCTGCCTCTCAACACAAGCATGAATGTAGAACACCAGCAGCAACAGCAGCCGGAGCAGCAGCAGCAGCAGCCGGAGCAGCAGCAGTTGTTGCTGCAGTGGCGAGGCAATTCTAGTCAGCAACAGGATCAGAGCGAGCAAATGAACCTTCACCAGGCTCAGCCTGAGCAGCAGCAGCAACTGAGAGCAGAGACGTTGCCAACAGCAGAGGGAGGAGGGGGGGGGAGGAGGAGGAGGGAGAGGCGGGGGAGGTGAAAGTGCAGAAGCAGCAGCAGATAAGCCTCTAGGGCCGCTGAAGCGCCAGGTGGCACCAGCCAATTGGTCGTGGGCTGTGGCTTTAGATGAGCTCAAGGCCGGGGGGTTCGAGGGTGCTTATAAAGAGGTGCTGAAGGCTGCAGATGCGGGTGCTATGGTGCGGCTGATGGGCCGAACCGGGCCTGTGCTGGGGCATCTGTCGCCTGATACCGGGGCGGAGGTTATTCGGCGCATGGTGGAGCTGCTTATAAGGGGGACGTCGGTGGAATACCTGCTGCCGTGGGTTCGGCAGGTGAGGTGATGGCAGGGGGTGATGTGCTATGCTGAGATGTGTGCTGTTGGTGGGCGGAGGCAGGAGCATGATCTTGCTTGGCTTGCTGATGCTCTGCACTGTGTGGTTCGGGCCATCACAACCATTCGTTGTGTTCTCATCTGCAGTTACACGGCAGTGAACCCATGTGTGAAGCAGCAAGGGTTCGGATTTGTCTTTTCCTAGCTCCCTTACCCCCACATTCGTTTCCCTCCCATCAACCCCCCAGGTGCTAGACATATTGACAGACGAGTCATCTTTCCCATATGGAGCAGAGGGCCCGGCAGTGGATGGGCATCTGAAGCACCCCACGTGCTTACACCCTCCTTTTCTCCCCCCGCCCTATTCCCTGCCCATCACCCCCAGCTGTTGGACATAGTGACAGACGAGTCCTCTCTGCCCTACGGGGCAGAGGGTCCAGCAGAGGATGGGCATCTGAAGCACCACGTGCTAGCAGCCTGGCTTTCCCCCTCACTTTACTCCCCTATTCTTCCCTTCCCATGACCCCCCCAGCTGCTGGACATAATGACGGACGAGTCATCTCTCCCGTACGGAGCAGAGGGTCCGGAAGTGGACGGGCATCTGAAACAGCACGTGCTGGCAGCGTTGCAGCAGGTGGTGGGCGCCGACGGGGGCAGCTGGGTGGGACGATCAGCAGGCGATTACCGGCGACAGCTGGCTGATGCATGGGGCATGTGAGGAATATGAGGGTTTTGGGTCTGGAGTGAGCACTGTAGCGAGATAGATCATAGACAGTGCTGCAAGATGCTTCAGGAAGGAGTGCGAGCTGCTGTGGCAGCTGGGCCTTGGGGTTAACCTGCAGTTGAATTGGTGTCTGTCCTTGACTCTTCTCTTTTGGAGCTTTGGTCCATTGTGTTTGGTTTGCTGAGTGGTAGTGTCTGTGTATTTCCCTTGGTAGTCTTCATCTCGGTGTTGGTAGACTGTTTTAGCACAGCTGGATTGAAAGTATACCGTATGTGTCAAATAAATAGCATGCAAACTAGGAAGTTGCCAAATACTCTCCAGCCAGCTCACACACAATCACTCGTGTCAGACACACCAAACCAAACCCTTCCATATCAATGTTCCATGCAACTTGCCCTGCCATCCCATCTGCCAATGCCCATACAACACACCACAACAATATCCCTGTCATAACATAAAATGGGGAGCTCAAATCTTCCCCCCTACCACGAAAGAGCCTCCCTCACACAACTCTCCCCCTCAGCGGGAGATGGGCTGCACCACGAGGGGGGAGCGCACGCTGTGGCCCTGGTTGTCAGCCCAGACTATAAACCCGTACTGGAAGTCATTACTGGGGGTATCCACCGTAAACGTCAGCGTGTAGCTCGCCTTCTCCCCGGGAGCAAGCGTGAGGCTCTTAGCCGACGAAGTCACCTTCACCCCCTGCGGCGCCTTCCCAGATATGCTGTATGTGGACCGGGACTGCCCCACGTTGGTGACGGTTCGTGTGACCTGCAGGGAGCCCTGCAGGCGAGGCAGAGTGATGGTGGGCAGGTTGAGGTTCCGAACAGCCAGAGGAGAGAGCTTCACCCCCCAAAACTCCCTTGTCGCACGGTTGAAGTCCTGCCCGGCAAGAAAATTCTGGTAGTCACGGTCGCGGACATCGTAGGTAAGTCCAGGGTCGAGCATGGCCGGGGGGAACACGTGGCCTGCGCCCATCTCCCACGGAGTGGCCTCCCTGCCCGTCGAACTCTTGATCGGGCTCTTGCTCGTGTCCGTCACCCGCACCGTCGTCATCAGCGCTGACATCACCTGCGCCGGGGTCCAGTTGGGGTACTTCTGGATGATTAAAGCGGCTAGCCCGGCTAAATGCGGGGTGGCCATGGAAGTGCCCGACATGCTGGCAAGACTGCCGGTTTCGCCAGGTTTCTTGCCAGGAAAGGCAGCTATGAGGTCGACTCCGGGGCCGATGATGTCGGGCTTTAAGATGGCGTTGCTTGCCTTGGGTGGCTGGGCCGTGGCGGAGGGCTGCAGCAGGGGGCCGCGGGAAGAGAAGCCAGCCACCACGGGGGCGGAGGAGGAGGCAGTGGTAAATGTGATCCCGCCGTCAGCAGTCAGAACGGTACTGCTGCTGCCGTCCGTGCTGTCAGTGCCGTTGCTGCTGGTGGTGGCGCCGAGAGCGAGAGACTGAGCGCCGGCAGTTGAGGCGAGGGACGCGCCGCCTCGGGCAATGGTGCTGGCGCCAACGGTGAGGTAGAAAGGCGCGAAATTGTCCAACGTGCGGTAGTACCCTCCACCAATACTCCCGGGAGGCCCGCTGTTGCCGGCAGCAAAGGTGACAAACACCCCGGCAGCATTGGCGCGCATGAAAGCGAGATCGTTGAAATAGTGGTCGTTGGGATCGGGAATCTTGCTGCCCAGAGACAGCGACAGCACATCCACACCGTCCGCCACGCCCTGATTGACGGCTGCGATGATATCTGACTCCATCGCGGTCATTGCCCCGTTGCCGTCCTTCCAGAAGACCTTGTACGCCGCAATGCGCGCTGCCGGCGCCATGCCGCTCACCTGCCCGCCGCCCTTCACATTCACGGGGTTGCCCGCGGCCGCCCCCGCGCACCACGTGCCATGGCCGTCCGCATCTCGCGGCGTGAGCCAGTCGTTGCTCAGCACGGGCCGGCCGTAGCTCTGCTGGAAGCCGGCATAAAAGGCCTTGGCGCCGATCAACTTGTTGTTGCACCGGAACGAGCTCGACTGCTCGCACTTGCCCTTCCACCCCGCGGGCAGCTGCGAGGAGAGGCCCTTATCGCTGAAGGACGGGTGTTCGGGCCAGATACCCGTATCCACGATCCCCACCACCGTGCCCTCGCCCGCCTTGCTCTGCCCGCCCATTGCCAGCCACACCTTCCCGCGCAGCCCCAGGAACTGTGGAGAGTCGGTCGTCTGCCGGCTGAACACGCGGCTGGGGCGGACGGACGCCACGGCGGGGTTGCGCCGCAGCCGCCACAGCTGGCGCGGCGTGAGGCGCGCGGCGAAGCCGTTGGACGTGTGCTTGTAGCTGTAGAGCAGCCCATCCTCGGGTACGCCTGCCTCAGATGCCACCTGCGCCTGCTGCCGCTGCAGCAGCCCCGCGTACGCCGCCACCTGGGGGCGGTCCATGCTCAGACTCAGCCGGTGCCGCGGGCACCCGCCGCCGCCATTACGACCGCCGTTACCGTTACCGCCGCGAGCGCTCGGAGTGGCGGCGGCATCAGATGTGCCGTTTGAGGGCGGTGATGATGGCACCGTCGCGTTTGAGAGCTGCTGGTCGCCGTCGGTGTCGTCCAGATCGACGGACTCGCCGCCTGCGGCGGCGGCGGAATCGCCGGCGGGGAGAATCATCTGCGGCACTTCCTCACTGTCGCCTTCGTCGCTGCCGTCTTCCCACGTGGCCGTCGCGGGGTAGCCCGCGATTCCGCCGCGGTATTCGGTGAGGGGAGGCGCCGTGCTCAGGCGAACGATGTACACCGCGGAGCCGTCGGCAGCTGGCGTTGCGAATTTTCCAGAGTTGCTGCGGGAGGGCGCCGAGAAGTGAGCATTCTCGCCGCCGTTCCGCCAAGCGCGGTTCAAGTTGCGCCAAGCTGATTCGCGACTTGCACTGGATGGCTGCGCCGCCAGGAGGAATGCGGCGAGAAGCAGTAGCATAACGATTGCAGAAACGTCCCTCATGGCGATATATGAAATCTCTGCGGGCAGTTACTGATTCTAGTGGTGCCTGTCACGGTTGCCTGCAGGCGTTGTTGGCCTAAAAACAAGTAGTCGTAGTAGCAGAACGAATCAAGGAGCTGAATTGTGATGCTGGTTTGAGTGGGGTTATGCCTCGTTTTGTACTCACCAGCTCACATGCCATGCGTCAGCGCCACGTTTGGGTCGAGGCCTCGTCGCGCCGCGATGCCCCTGGTGGGGGAAATCTCGGACTCCTCCAGCTTTGGTTGAACAATGTTTCGCCAGCATCGCGAAACATTACTTGTCCTAAAACGAAAAACTGTAACCCTGCCTCGGGGACTTCGAGATGAAATCCCGCTTTCGTCAGCGTATTCGCAACCACACCCTCAATGGCTCTTCACAACCCGTGACGGGCACTTCACGCTTGGTTCGAGGGTGCACGAGACAGGACAGACCCTGTGCTTCAGAGGCTTGTGGTTACCATGCGCTCGCATCAGATCTCCTGCCCAGGGAAATTCGTGCTGGTAACTTTGATTCGGCAAAATACAGTCACGGAAGTCAACTGTCGGTCAGAGACCCCTGGCACGAGCAAGAATGATACTATATTTCACTATAGACTGGCTATTCAATATTGTTACGAGTGCAATTGAGTGAACGAACGAGAATTGCACTATCGAAGCAAGAGTACAAATGAGCGAAGGCATGAGCAAAGAATATATAGCGAAACTACAGTGGTAACGGTAATGGTCGCGCGACGAGCCTGGGACTGATGATGAATGATGCGATGGTCGCGAGTGGTAACGGTGCTGACTGAGGTGCTACAGTGATGTACGCGTTGAGCAGGGACGCGAAGTAAGGAAAAGGGAATTTCCTTACAAATATGCACATCATTGGCTCACTAACGTAAGTGACAGCTTGGGCCGATTGGGCTGTGGCTCAATGACCTCAATATGTACAGTAACCGTGCACAGTAACCGTGCACCTTGAATCGCCGCTTTCTTTCTTTTGACTCCACCGTCTGCGACTTCTCATCTACCACCCAATCGCTTGACGGTGCATTCCCATCGATCTTGTTGGCAGCAGCAACTGCAGCAGCTTTCCCCTTGGGAGGTTCCTTGGGTACGAGATAGACTGGTCCCTCTCTGCCATACCTAGAATGGGGCAAAGAAAGGAATAATGCATCGCACTGGTTGTGCAGCAGTTGTGAGTTGTGCAAACAAAAAACACCACATTAAGTGATGCTTTTGTACACAGTATGGACACAGAGATTTTGTGTCAAACATATACATATGTTATAGTTTTGGGTAGGTTGTAGTGGGGTAGATACTGTGGGGTACAACCCCTTAGGTTTCCTTCTTGTACCAAAATCTCTCGATAGTCAAACACATTCCTGCTTAGTTTCTATGATGGTATCTAGAGCAGTAGGTCTTCAGGACCTAAGATTAGGGCCCACCTATTACCGCGTTACCTCACCTACGGCCTTGCCTGCCTGCCTGCCTTGCCTGCTTCCCGCGCGCACCCTGGTTGCACGCACGCGTATATTTTCTTTTTTAGAGCGCGCTACTGCTGCACCTGCCTCCGCAGCCCGCTGCAGCGCAGCGCGCCGCGTCTGCAGCCTGTGCTGAGCCTGATCGAGTTCTCGTGTTTGAGGGTGACGGTCGCCCGATCCAGTTCGCTGTGTGGCTCGACGATCTCCAACTTTTCCTTCTGACTGATGCCAAAGACGATGTTTCACTGTTCGATTACGTGTCTGGCACTGCCGTTGCTCCTGCTGACGATGCTACTACTCTCGAACGCTCACAGTGGCAGACTCGTGATGTTGCTGTACGCCTAGCTATTAGGAACCATCTGCCGATCACTGAGCACGCGCATTTCAGTCAGCACAAAACTGCTAAGGCACTGTACGACACTGTAGTTGCGCGATACTCCTCCTCGGCCACTGCAGCCCTAGGTCGGCTCATGCTACCCTACCTGTTCCCCGACATGTCCTCGTTTACCACTACTGAGGACCTCATTTCTCACCTTCGCAC